AGTTAATACAATTAATATTGAAATTGAAGATTTTTACCAACCTTTGCAGTCTGAAATTGATTATATATGCAATCAAGATGCACTGATAATTACCGGTGATTGAAATAAATTTGGAAACAAAAAAAGGAGGATCAGTAGTTGGAAAATAACGGCCTTGGTGATAGAAATGATGCTGGAGATGGCATGATAGAATTTTGCAAATATTTCAACAACGTAAATGGCGACTATACATGTGGAACTCGCCAAATGGAATACATAGGAATCAAATTGACTACATCTGTGAAAGAGATGATGGGAGATGCTCAGTATCATCAGCCAGAACAAGGCTAGGGGATGACCGCAGAACAGACCACCAGTTGCTCATATGCAAATTCAAGTTAAAGCTGAAGAAAATTAAATCCACAAGAGCAAAAATAACCTTGAGTATATCCTACCTGAATTTGGAGACCATCTCAATAATAGATTTGATGCATTGAACACTGATGACTGAAGACCAGACAAGTTGTGGGATATCAAGGACATGCTAAGTGAAGGTCATTAAAAAGACAAGGAAGAAAAAAAAATACCAAAATGGATGTCAGAAGAGATTCTGAAACTTGCTCTTGAACAAAGAGTAGCTAAAGCAAACAGAAGAACTGAATACAAGCTTTTAAAGGGAGGCTCAAAAAGACAAAGTAAAGTTATAATGAAATATGCAAAAACCTGGAGTTAGAAAATCAAAAGGGAAGAACACACCTGGCATTTCTCAAGCTGAAAGAACTGAAGAAAAAATTCAAGCCTCAGTTGCAATATTGAAGGATCCTATGGGCAAAATAGTGAACAACGCCAGAAGCATCAACAGAAGATGGGAGGAATACACAGAGTCACTGTACCAAAAAGAACTGATCGATGTTCAGCCATTTCGGCAGATACCATCTAATCAAGAACCTGTGGTATTGGAGGAAGAAGTCCAAGCTGCAACAAAGGCATTGGTGAACAAGGCTTTAAGAATTGATGGAATACCAATTGAGAAGTTTCAACAAACAGATGCAGTACTGGAAGCACTCACTTCATCTATGCCAAGAAGTTTGAAAGACAGCTACCTGGCCAGTCGACTGAAAGTGGTCCAAATTTGTGCCCATTCCAAAGAAAGGTGATCCAACAGAATGTGGAAAGTATTGAACAATATCATAAACGTCACATGCAAGTAAAATTTTGCTGAATATCATTCAAAAGCAGTTGCGGCAGTATATCCACAGGGAACTGCCAGAAATTCAGGCCGGATTCAGAAGAGGACATGGAAAGAGAGAGATCATTGCTGCTGTCCGATGGATCTTGGCTGAAAGCAGAAACTACCAGAAAGATGTTTAGCTGTGTTTTAGTGACTATGTAAAGGCATTCGACTGTGTGGATCTTAACAAATTATGGAAAACATTGCAAAGAATGAGAATTCAAGAACACAGTTGTGCTCGAGAGGAACCTGAGAGGCAGTCTTTATCAAACAAAACAAGGGGATACTGTGTGGTTTAAAATCAGGAAAGGTGTGTGTCAGGGTTGTATCCTTTCACTATCCTTACTCTTTTGTATGCTGAGCAAATAATCTGAGATGCTGGACTATATGAAGAAGAACTGGGCTTCAGCATTGGAGGAAGACTCATTAGCAACCTGTGATATGCAGATGATCCAACCTTGCTTACTGAAAGCAAAGAGGACTTGAAGCACTTACCGATGAAGATCAAAGACTACAGCCTTCTGTATGGATTACACTTCAACATAATGAAAACAAAAATCCCCACAATTGTGACCAGTAAATAACATGATAGAGAAAATATCGAAGTTTTCTAACATTTCATTTTATTTGGCTCCACCATCAACACCCATGGAAGCAGCAGTCAGGAACCCAAACAACATATTGCATTGGGCAAATCTGATATAAAAGATCTCTTTAAAGTGTTAAAGAGCAAAGATGTCACTTTGAGTATTAAGGTATGCCTGACCCAAGTCATGATAATTGTCTCATGCTTGCTGAAGCTGGTCATTGACTAAGGAAGACTGAAGAATTGATGCCTTTGAATTGTGGTGTTGGTGAAGAATGGACTGCCAGAAGAAAGAACAAACCTGTCTTGGAAGAAGTACAGCCAGAATGCTGCTAAGAAGCAAGGTTGGTGAAACTTCATCTCACATACTTCGGATTTGTTATCAGGAGTGACCAGACACTGGAGAAGGGCATCACGCTTGGAAAAGTAGAGGGTCAGCGAAGAAGAGAAAGACTCAACAAAATCCACTGACACAGTGGCTGCAACAACGGGCTTAAACATGGCAACAATTGTGAGGATGGTGCAGGACCGGGGAATTTTTCGTTCTTTTGTACATAGGGTCGCTATAAGTTGGAACCGACTTGACAGCACCTAACAGAAAACTTTGCTGCTAACTCTTCAGTTCACAAATCACTACATTCTTTGATAGTCTATTGGTGATTGGTCACTGTTAATCTGTTATTCAGTTCTTGCACAGACAGCAAAGCATGTAGTTGTGTTGCCTCTCTGTCTCCCAGTGATATATCTACATGACATTTTACAAAGGAAAGCGGGAACTGACCAATGAATATGCAAGTTCAGCAAAGAAACAATAACACTGGAAGTGAAATTTGAATCAGATGTCAGTAGAGTTACAGAATAAAACCTAACCCTTGTGAATGTAGACACAAGACACTAGATATGTAGCCAGAGGGACTTAGTGAAGTCAAATTGATCAACATAAATGAGGACAGTGGTCTGATGAGAAGGATGAAAATAACCCAGGAGAAGTGACATTTGCAAAAAACTTCATATTAAAGGAACTTACAGAGATAATCCACAGCATTGAAAGCACAAAGGGTAAAATGTTGAAAAATGATCCAAACTTAGAAATGAGTGTGAACATTTGGCAAGGCATAGAAAAGATTCTCACTGCGTATAAGTTATATGATCAAAAGAAGGCAAGCACTTTTACAAACTGTTGATAAGTTTTTTTTAACAAAGAAGGGAAACTCTTTAACCTCAGTGATCCTGTTATTTTAAATTACTTTTGACTAAATACTAGTTTTACTATCATATTCATTTTTCTGTACATTTATAACTCTGATAGAGTGTTAATGGTTTGACAGTTTATCAAGGTCATGGAACAGTGATTTTTCCATTTATTATTAAGGTTGTCTTGCATAGTCATTTTTATGGTCTCACAGTGCCATGCAAAGTGAGGACTGCCTGTTTTGAGATAAAAATTATCTGTGTAAAAAATTTAACTGTTTCAAATATTTATACACCAGATAGCATCATGGTAGATCAGTCTTCTTTGGAATGGCGTTACATTTAGGGTCATACTTAGAAAGGTTCCACACTGAGGTTTTTAAACATTTTTCTGTAATTAGGTACTTCAAAGATCCTCCCTTCCCACTTCCTGAAGTTCCAGTTAACCATCAATTTTGATCCCTGGAGGCATGGTGGTTAAGTGTCAGGTAGAACTGTGCTCCATAGGGTTTTCAGTGGCTTAGTTTTTTAGAAGTATATCACCAGGCGTTTCCTTTGAGTCACCTCTGGGTTGGACTCAAATCTCCAGCCTTTTGGTTAGCAGCTGAATGCGTTAATTGTACCACCCTGCACTCCAAATTAAGGCTTAGGATCGATTTTTTCAGTTTCATTCCGTCTTGCAAATTTTTGTCACTACTGTCTGTTCTCTTGTACTGTTAGAGCTCATGAGTTTATACTTTTAAAATAATCTCCCGGTATTGTTTCTGTGGCTTCAGGGAGAATTTTTGTTGAATTTGCTTGTTTTAGCTAGAAGTAAGTTCTGTTTTTGTTGGAGTTTTACCTCAAGTCATTTACTTAGAATTTGCAATCTATTAACGTAGGAGGAATGTTTGAACTGTTTTAACTAAATATGTTAATTTTTCTAATTTGAGGCAGTGGGCAGAAATGAATAATTTCTCGTCAGAGTCTGAATTTCTGGATCAAATGAGATGATGATTTAAGTTTAACACAAAAATTTTCTCACTAATCAGGTGATTAGTGCATTAATCTTAGCCTAGTAATAATAGACATTATTTTGAAATTGGGATATGTAGTTAAAATATATAGATACATGGAACATTCCTGAATTACAGAATTTGGATAATGAAACTTGATTTTATTCCTTCTAAATGTATGTGCTGATTATATTTAAATAGAGTGCTTTTAAGTCCTTTTAATTGCAATTTTTATTTTGAAGCCTTTCAAAGCACAATAGTAACTATACTTATTAGCTCTCTAATTTTTGAGGAACTTGAGCAAATGAGGAATTTGTAATATATATCTAATTATAATAATCTTAAATTGTGGATAATTTTAGAGGAAATTAGTACCAAATCAGTTTTCTTGTTGCTTTGGAGAATAGATGTGTATAAACCATCATGGTTAAAAAAAAACTCATATACTGTGTCAACCTTTATGGAACTAGCAGACTTCTTTGGAACTGAGTGATAGAGGAAAATATAAAGAATATATCTGAGGCACAGATGGTGTCTTTGTGCACAGTTAAAGCTGATGCCATTATGAACTTTGTATATGTGAGTGAACAGATGAACCAGTTATAACATCTGCCTGACTTCCTCAGCAAGTAACACGTTTATTTTATTTTAAAAACACATTTAGATAATATACCTTATTGATCATGTTTCATGAATTTTGTAACATACCAGGTTATTCTGAAATAAAATTATATTTAGAAGCAGTGAAATGTATTGATTAGTGCAGTTGTTGTCACTGTTACTTGGTTTTTATTTATTTATTTTTTTAAATAGGGCAGTGGATCTAGGAGCTTGTGATTGAATTTAATAAAAATATTTGGAATTAAATATATTTGTGTCTACACTTTAATTTATGTAAGCTTTATAACACATGTTAAAAAGCGATAATTTGATCATAGGATAATGCTATTTAATAACTTTTGTTACACATTTAATTGAGGTTGTTTTATACTCATATTTTTCCCCTCTCCTTTTATAGTGCTTTTTTAGGACCAAAGGATATATTTCCTTACTCAGAAAATAAGGAAAAGTACGGCAAGCCAAATAAACGAAAAGGTTTTAATGAAGGTTTATGGGAAATAGATAACAATCCAAAAGTGAAATTTTCAAGTCAACAGGTGAGTCACATTGCATAGAATGTAGTTTAGCATTATTTATTAAATCTTGGTTTTGAGATAATCGCTATTGTAGCATTTATATGTGACACTAAATTTTCATGGAGTGGTTTGCCTTTGCACAATCTGTGTCATTTTTATCATACAACAGAACTTACTATGTTTATGTTTTTTTCCTCTGTCCGGGCATCGATGGTATTTTTAAAATTTTTCTATATTGTCAGTTGTACTCTTGAACTATGTGTACGTTCCCATATGGATGCCCCAGTACTCTTGCAATTTAAAATAAAGAAATAAGCCAGATTTTATAGTAGTACCTATGTTCTAGTAGGAGCCCTGGAGGCACGGTGGTTAAGTGTCAGGTTCTAAACAAAAGTTTGGCATTTGGAACCCACCACCTGCTCTGGGGGACAAAGATGTGGCAGTGCACTTCTGTAAAGATTATAGCCTTGGAAACAAACCCTATACGGCAGTTTTACTCTGTGCTGTGGGGTCACTGGGAATCGAAATCAACTTGACTGCATTGGGTTTTGACAATGGGTATGTTCTAGTACCACAGAGCTGTAAGAGGAAGTTTTTATGAGAATGTTACTGGGATTTTCTCATTCTTCAATAGAAGTTCTTTTATTAGACTTGTAGTAAAACTTGGGAAGAACATGAGTAAATTTAAAGAAGGGGGTTGAACAAACTAGAAATTGTACAACTTTCTACTCTTAAACCCGTCAACCTTTTATTTCTTCAAAGGTACCATGCTTCTTACTTTTGAAAACTTTTCAGATGCTATTCAATCTGGGACACTTAATTTTCCTCTCATCGATGCCTCGTGACTGCATTAAGGTGGTCCAGAGTGCCTTCATTGCTTATTTGTTGTAATACTTTTATACCAAATTATGATTGCTTCCTTACTTTTCTGTAACTGCCACAGACTGTTAGTTCCATGAGCAGAGACGTCGTCCTGTGTGCCTGGCACTGTTACGTGCATGGGAAGAATTTCACCAAATATTGCTGATGAGCCTAGGTGGTGCAGTAATTAAGACCTCAGCTGCTAACCAAAAGGTCAGCAGTTTGAATCCACCAGCTGCTCCTTGGAAACCCTGTGGGGCAGTTTTACTCTGTCCTATAGGGTCTCTTTGAGTCAGAATCGACTCAGTGGCGGCGAGTTTGGTTTAAATATTGTTGAATGACTATAAGAATGGACAGATGGTTTCCTGTCAGTCTTGTGTTGATTATAATGGAAAGACATTTGTCCAAAGAGACTGAATTCTTTCCTGAAACTAACTTTTTTGTTAATTTCACTTCCATTATTTGTGGTGTGATGGTATCTTCATGGTCTTTTTTTTTTTTTTTTTTTAATCTTGCTATCCACTTAATCTACAGGTAGTTTTCAGTATCTAGACTTGTAATTTTCCAGTTCACAATGAAATTTTGGTAGATTGTGTGGATGAAACACAACCTTCTGTCTTTACAAAACCATGAATGACTATGCTGATTTGTTCTCCAGGCCCAGACACCTCCACAGTGGCACATTCTAGGGGTCGGGGAAAGCAGTAATGCCCAAACTTACTCAAAACAAAAACAATTTAACCATCATGATTTTTAAAAATTTCTATAGTGCTATGAATAATTTTCCAGGCATTTTTACATTTTTTTATAACTTTATAATAATTTTGTGGGTTTTCAGCGTTGCTTTTTTCTTTTTACAAATGAGGAAGTGGATTTAGAATTTAAAAGACTTGCCAAAGGAAACATGACTAGAAAGAGACAGGATTGGAGTTCTGTATTCTCCTAGATCTGTGCTTCACCCCTTCCCCAATGTGTACTGTGTTGTCTCTATTACTCATCTTTTTGTTTGATATTATGAAAGGCTAGAGCCCCTAGATCACCTGCTGAAGTATCTATTATATTACTTGGAGTGTTTTGTTTTTTTTTTAATTTAGTGATAATTACTGGCCTCCCACTCCCTACCTGCTAAATCAGAATCGCTAATTATGGGTCTCATTTGGAAGAATGGAAATTCCAGAACACTAACTTGGGGTCATGTGGAACCTGTATATAGACCATGAGGCAGTCGTCAGAACAGAACAAGGGTATACCGCATGGTTTAAAATCAGGAAAGGTGTGCGTCAGGGTTGTATCCTTTCACCATACTTACTCGAACTGTATGCTGAGCAAATAATCCGAGAAGCAGACTATATGAAGAAGAACTGGGCATCCGGATTGGAGGAAGACTCATCAACAGCCTATAATACGCAGATGACACAACCTTGTCTGCCGAAAGCAAAGAGGACTTGAAGCACTTACTGACGAAGATCAAAGACTCAGCCTTCAGTATAGATTGCACCTCATCATAAAGAAAACAAAAATCTTCACAACTGGACCAATAAGCAACATCATTATAAACAGAGAAAAGATTGAAGTTGTCAAGGATTTCATTTTACTTGGATCCACAATCAATGCCCGTGGAAGCCGCAGTCAGGAAATCAAACGATGCATTGCACTGGGCAAATCTGTTGCAGAATACCTTTTTAAAGTGTTAAAAAGCAAAGACCATTTTGAGAACTGAGGTGTGCTTGACCCAAGCCATGGTGTTTTCAGTCGCCTCATGTGCATGTGAAAGCTTGACAGTGAATAAGGAGGACTGAAGAAGAATTGATGCCTTTGGTGTCCTCGAAGAATATTGAATATACCATGGACTGCCAGAAGAACAAACAAATCTGTCTTGGAAGAATTACAGCCAGAATGCTCATTAGAAGCCAGGATGGCAAGATTTCATCTCATGTAATTTGGATATGTTATCAGGAGGGACCAGTGCTAGAGGACATTATGGTTGGTGTAAAGTAGAGGGTCATCGAAAAAGAGGAAGATCCTCAATGAGATGGATTGACACAGTGACTGCAACAGTGGGCTCAAATATAACAATTGTGAGGATGGCACGGGATCCGGGCAGTGTTTCATTCTTTTGTACATAGGGTCGCTGTGAGTAGGAACCAACTTGACAGCACCTAACAACAACAACAGTTGTGGGTCTCAGAAATCTGCCTTTAAAATAAAATAAAGTTTGAGATATAGACTGGTCTTTAAATGAAGCTGTGAGGTATATCCTTTACTAAGGCCGTTTGTTACTTAGTACACTAATGGTGCATGTAGATAAGCTTCTCTAGAATATTTTAGTAGTTGAATACAGTGTATGACTGTGCTGTTCTAAAGGTTTTTACATTGTGTCTTTTTGGGCATTTGTTGGTTAGAGCATCAGAATATGGTATTCTTAATAATCGGTATTTCATTTCTGCCTAAATATTTTTTTCACCTGGACTTGTGTGCATTGAAGTACAGGAATACAGATCGGTTAAGACTTTTTTAAAGAAACAGTAGTATTGAAAACTTTCTAAAATTATGTATATTAAAATTGTCCTATGGAACAGAAAATAGGGTGCTTTTCTAAGTTTTTATAGACAGGCTTTTTAATTTTTCATGGGTAGACAATTTTAAAGTTGGGGGTAAAACCTTAATTTGTGAAACTAATAGTCTTGATTGCTCACAGGTCTCAGCTAAGCAATCAAATGCATCATCTGACGTTGAAGCTGAAGAAAAAGAAACTAGTGTTTCAAAGGAAGATACTGACCATGAAGAAAAAGCCAGCAACGAGGCATGTTGAATTTGTCCTGCGTTCTAAACTCATTTTGTTGCAAGGAGAAAATTATAAACTGAATTGACTCCGGCAAAGTAAAAAGTAGTCTTTAAAATATTTGAGTAATGAATGAGAAGATACTTCCTATGTAAATAAACCATTGTAAAATAATTTATGCATCTTTAAGATAGTGGCTTTTTTTTTTTAAGTCATTTTAATGTGCAGAATAAGAGGTCCCATCTGTAGGGTAGGTTACTGTTGGTTAGGAAGGTTTTTAGAGAAGTGGTGAGGGATGAATGTACTGGAAAGAGCAGCTTTGGACTGAATTTCTTAAAACCTGGGTTTATTTCCAATTTTATATCTGATTACCTAGAAATTGGTTGTTCACTGATATCCAAAGTCCTAGCCACCTCTTAAAATCCACAACCCTACAATTCAGGATTTTTCTGTAGAAAATAATTTCATGAATTTAAATAGACATATGTACTAGTAATGTGACCTTTTATATTTGATTTGACATAGGAAATGGATTTTTTTTTTCCATGTGAAGATACTGGCTATTTCTTTCATTATACAATGTTAAGACTGTTAAAATTTATAATTTCAAAGGTCAGAGAAGCAAAATAAGTTTCCCCAGAACTTTCAGTGAAATGTGCCATAACTTTTAAGAAAATTTCTTTGTCTTGACATATTTTTCAACTTCATCTGTATTTTTTAGGATGTGAGTAAAGCAATTGATGTAACTACTCCAAAAGCTGCCAGAAGAGGGAGAAAGAGAAAGGTAATTTTACTGGCTAACCATGGGAATCTTAAAAGAATTCTTAACTTAGTTGGGTAGAGGACAAGTAGAGATAAGTAAACTTGGTCTTTTATTCTAAAAACCTTGATTTTTCTTTTTTTTTTAAGGGTAGGTTATGTTGTTTACTTGCCAAAACTGTGTTTCTTAGCGATCGAGCACCCTTAAGTTGAATGGTAAAATAATATGGATCAATTTTCATTAATTTTAATGACTCTCTGTCTTGGTTTTCTCTGTAAGGTAGATAATAGTATATATTCGTAGGGTTGTTGAGAGGATTAAATGAGTTAATACATATAAAATGTTCAGAATGTGTCCTGGTACGTAGTTGTGTCCGTTTGAGAACTTTTGCCCTCTTACCACCTCAGTAGGAGAAGAGTTCTCTGTAGAGTCTTGAGTTTTCAATATTTGGTATTTGTGGAGCTTTGTAGTAACACAGATGCCTGGTTCCCTACCCCAGAGCTATTCAGTCAGTTTGGGGCAGGAGTATGTGGTCTGTAAATGCTCAGAATTTTAGAAATACAACCTGAGCTTATATTTAGGGAAAAATTTTTGTAATCTTCCTTGAGAAGATTTCAAAGGTTACCTTAGATGAGTTTACTGACCTTTAACAATGCTTTGAATATGCATTATTATGTCCTAATTTAAAAGCAATAATGTTTTTGAAAAAAAAATGAATAAATTCTTAGAAGTGGAATTACTGAGTCAGATTTGCACATTTATTTTTACAGATATTCAGAAAGGTAGTAGTACCAGTTTATGCTCATAAGTCATCACTATATAAATGATTCTCCACATCTTTACCAACACTGGGCATTATCTCTTAGTTATTTGCAAAGTAGGTATGTGCCCTCAAGTCTCTACCCCTAAAGGACAGAGTAGAACTACTCTATCGAATTCCCTAGGCTGAAATCTGAGAGCCACTATGGTGTTGCTGCTGGGTTTGAACTGCAGACTTTTTGGTTAGCAGCAAAAGCACTTTAACCATTGCATCACCTGGGCTTCTTAGAGGCCTTTTAAACATATATATATATATATTTAAGTCAGTGAGACTTCATTGGGCATGTTTTTACATGTTTTACTGCCTTTAAGGCTGAATTCTAAATAGCTGGGGCTGGGAGGCAGCTAGTAATGGGCCTCCCATTCTTCTCGTTGTTCTTTAGTTTTATTTCCTCCCTTTGCTATTTTTATGATCAGTACCAACTCATGTCTCCCTTTCCCTTCTAATTGGTGGTTTTTAACCTTTGTTCTACTCTAATGCTTGAATAAATAATTATTATCATTTGGGGCTGTTGTTCCTTCAGGAAAGTCATACCAGAATTAACAGTTTGCAGGGGGTCATTGGAATTCCCTTATTCTCCACCACAGTAAATCCCTCTTTATGGGAAATAAGAATTACTCAAAGGGAAAACAGCAGATCTGAGCCTCTGTTTGAAAATAAAACTTGTATACATTAACAATGTTATCAGATTAGAAATATCAATAACTTCATTTCTTACCTTTCCTAACTCTTAGGTTCTATATCATAGGTTGGCAATATAAAGTATTAGATTTTGAGGCAGCCAATAAAAGTACATTTATAAACAATGTGTGAATTGTTATAGTCTGATTGTATTGTACCTCGTTGTATCAAGAATAAAGCCTTGTTTTCACAAATGGCTGTTTTAGATTGAGGATTTCTTTTCTTTTTTAGAACTTTAAGCTGAGTTTGAGGATGTTATTTGATGAGTTGATTAGTTGAGCTCATGTTATCATAGAGTAGCATATTTTTGCCATTGAATTAAATTAGTAATGCCTACTGTTTGCGAAATAAATTAATTAAATGTTTGTGATTCAGGCAGAAAAACAAGTAGAAACTGAGGAGCCAGGAGTAGTGACAACAGCAGTAACATCTGTTAATCTAAAAGTGAGTCCAAAAAGAGGACGACCTGCAGGTAGGATTATTGATGTTTACATCTTCGTTTAGCTCATGATTAATATTCCAATCCATTAAAGTATTACTGCCTCAAATACTTTGGAATGAGGTAGATAGGCAATTGATTATAAGATACAATTGATAGTAAGAAATTTCAAAGGAGATAAACGTTATAGTTTCTGCTGTATGTAACAAAGTATTTAAATTTGATATAATTGTTTGGGCCTATTTCATTTTCTGTTTTATTTCTATTACATTTTCTTCCCAGTAGAGGCAAAAGAGGCTATGGTGAGGTTAAAATTACCATTTATAATGGGTTTATTTTACCTTTCAGTTACGAGACATAAGCTTTCTAAATAGAAACAAAATCAAAGCATGAGAAAGAGCATCTGATTAATTAAATCTATTAATATTTAAAGTTTTTGCATTCTTTGTTTATTAGGATCTATACGATAAACAACTGTCTTCAGCATTGCCTGTTTATTTTCCTAATTTGGCAAATTGGAAATATTTTGGAAGGGATCTGCCTTATTGTACAAAGAAAATTAATCAGAGTATAGCCTCTTCCCTCCCTCCCATTTCATGATAGGGTTCTTACTGAAAAGAAATAAGATGGGTAATACCCAGGAAGTGGGGGGGGGGGGACTGAGAATCTATTTACATAACTTATTTTGGAATTTAATATTGTTGTAATGGATCAAACTGTGTCATTAGAGAACTCAGTGAATTCTGATGCAAATTTTCAAGGGTATATGTACATATATACATAATACCGAAATGCGTCTATGGCTGTTGAACATTCTAATTTCTGAAGTTTACTTTTGTGACAGTCTTGTTAAAAAACATAAAGAACGTTGTTTGAAGCTCTCTCAGCTATACTAAGGCCAAATTGAAAATTATTCTATTGACCTGCCTTTTTTAAGTTTCCTACTATTGCTCATTTGAACTGTGGGAGGGAAGGGGGTTTAATCTTTAAAATCTATAAATAACTGTATGTATAATAAGCCATTAATAGTCTTTTATTGTTAGTATATATAATTCTAATTTTTATATGTGAGATTTGCATCTTAAAGGGAAAGCTGGTAGTTAACAGATTTTTTTTTATGTGAACATTAGCTACAGAAGTCAAGATTCCAAAACCAAGAGGCAGACCCAAAATGGTGAAACAGCCATGTCCTTCAGAGAGTGAGATGTGAGTTTATTTTTAATGTATAATTAATTATGCAATAAATGGAACATTTGACTTTAAGTATACTTGTCTTTGCATTTTTACATTTTATTTACATTTCATTTTTGCATTTTATTTTATTGCTGCTTCCAAAAATTATGAAAATAACTTGAGAAATAGTATTATGTAAAATAAAAATTGGAAGGGAATTGAGGAAAATCTAGTATGATTATCATTTCAGTAATCAAAGACATTTTCCTGATTTACCAGGATGTAATGCAGGGTAAACTGAATAAACTGCATATTTAACGAAATTTTAAACAAAAGTTATTTGAAATAATTTCCAAAAATCCTTTGAAGTTCCTCCAGAATACCTAGTACTAAAAATAATTTAAAATTTTTTTGTAATTAAAATTTTGAAGTATATTGGAATGAAAACTACTTAGTTACCCCCAAATTAAAAAGTTTTTCTTTTCCTTTTCTTTTTCCCTTATGGATCCTGTTCATTTTGACTTTTCTGGGTAGAAACTTCACTAGGAGGAATATATTTAGACAGAGTACAAAACTTCATTTTGCTGTTGGGCTTAAAGTTTTTATAGGGAAGGCTCAAATGGGCTGTGTGAACTAAAAGATTTATAATGCTGTTTTGAATGAAACTGATTGTTTTCATAGGAAATTTTAGTTACAGAACACTACTGGAGATTTGGTAGTTTTCAACCAAAATATATTTAAGGAGCTTTATTTTATTAGTAAGGTAACTGTTAATGTGTTTTCAAAAACAGTGGCACAAAATTACAGCATGGTTTAACTAATGTAAAATTTAAGAAATTACTTTGTAGGTGAGTTTTTTTTTTAAAAAAAAAAAAAAAACACACCAAATCTCATCCCTTTTCAGAGATATCCCAACTGTCTTACCCAACCGTAGTATTGGGCAGAAGGTCAAGGATTTCATGAACAACACATACACTCATGAACAATATACACACACACACACATACACACACATACACGATAGGGAACCATGGTAAGCACTTTCATTTGGAAAGGAGAAGATTAAGAGGTACATAGCCGTCACTGTTGCTTAGGAAATCTGAAGTTCTTTTGAAATATAAGGAATGTTGCCTGATTGGGCCTCAGTTCTCTCTGGAAGTAGCTTCCTTTTCTCCGTGGACTCAGTTGGTCAGTATGTATTAAGAGCTATGAAAATGCTGTTTATATTTGACTCTCTAATCTCATTTCCGTGAATTATTATAAAAATATAGTAATGGAAATGTTGAAGTTAAATCATTTTACTTCCATGCTTTTTCTTCTATCGATTAAAAATAAATGAAGCCCATATGACATTTGAAAATGATACTTAAAGTGTGCTACTGATATGTGAAAAAATTTCTAAAGAATTTTTTTCTCTTTCAACTTAATCTCTTAAGTCTTTAAGGAAGCAGTTGCATGATAGTCAGTGGATTTCGAATTGAGATCCTGGACTTTAGTTTTACATTCTACACCATTTTCTTATTTATCAAATGGAAGGGGTTGGACTAGATGATCTGAAATTCCTAGGACAGTTAAGAAAGGTTAGTTTTTAAACAGCTTTGTCCACCCTTCAGGTTGTAGTGTTCTTTATGGGACTTCTTTAGCTGAATGAACATGGATACCATAGAAAGTAATTATGTAGTCAGCACTGGAATCATTTCCCCTTTTAGAATCTGTTCTAACACAAATATTTATTTTTTCTGTGTTAAATAGCATAAATATCTTAATCTTGGGATTATTGAGCAATTTAGGTAGTTTGACTTCTTTTAGTGATGTCTGTGATAGCCAGTGGTGATGGTAATACTTAAGTGCGACAGAGTTCAGTACTGCTTGTTATGATGCTTAAAATCAGGAGTGTATTTTACCATTATATACATAAATCTTAGCACCTTTTTGCCTACAAAAGGCTATTTCTTTGCATCTTAAATTACCATATTTGATTACAAAAATAATTCCTAATTAACATGTAAAATATAAGCTCCTTAAGAGTCAGGGATCTTGCCTATCTTATACACTATTGCATCCCCAGAGTCAAGAACAGTGCCTTGGCACATAAGATAATAAATCACATTTCAAAAAGCTTGGGAAACAGGAAAAAAATCACTTTCTGTCACTAAAATTTTTTTCCTCTTGTAATTTACACAGAATTTATACAGAATTCCTTTTATGGTTGGATTGTATTAATTTTACTTTCAGCTATTTTGCCTTTAAACAAAAACTGAATAACTTACTGCTATCCAAAATACTTAGGTTGACTGAAAAAGTATGGTTGGATGACAGGTATAATGATACATAAATGCTCATTTTGTACTGTTGTACTCTCTAAAATAGGGTAACTGAAGAAGACAAAAGTAAGAAAAAGGGGCAAGAGGAAAAGCCACCTAAAAAGCAGCTGAAAAAGGATGAAGAGGGCCAAAAGGAAGAAGATAAGCCAAGAAAAGAGCCAGACAAAAAAGAGGGGAAGAAAGAAGTGGAATCAAAAAGGAAAAATTTAGCTAAAGCAGGGGTTACATCAACCTCTGATTCTGAAGAAGAAGGGGATGATCAAGAAGGTGAAAAGGTAGAAAGTCTGTCTATTAAATAAAATATTTGTTCTCTTTGTAAGTTCTTATGTATTTCTTAATGATTTAGCTAGTAAACTTTCAGTATCTTTGTGAAAGTTTGTAAATATCAAGGTGGTGAGCTTTCTGAAGCAGATTACCAGGCCTTTTTTTCCGAGGTGGTGACTCTGGGTGGGTTTGAACCACCGTTTGGTTAGTATTTGAGCATGTAACTATTTGCACCACCCAGGGACTCCAAATATCATTAAAAATTAAACTTACTTTCTCTACCTTGCCAAATACACTTGAATTAGCTATGTTTAAAAGCCTAATTTGAAACTTAATATATTGTACTTTCTAAATACATCTCTTATGTTTTTGGAATTTTGATATGGAAATTAAATATTATGTTACATTTCCAATAACCTCACTTATCTAAAAAAATGGAGGAAAACAAGAGATTAAGCCAAATAGGTGGTGTCTGATGAAGACAGAGGTATATACAGATTTGTGTTACTTACCCCAAAGAATTCTTACCGCTCTTCAGGCCTACTTGCTGTGTTTTATTAGTGGTTCTTATTGGGGTGCCATAGTTGTTTGAGAATCTCATTAAAGATACACATCCTTTTCTTTCTGTAAGTACCTTGTTTTGTTCATTTTTATCTGATTTAATATTTTAGAAGTCAGAAATTTAAAATTGGGTAGGTTTGAGCAATGTACCTGCCAAATTAACAAGAACTCAAGTCAAAGTGGATAATGTTGAACAAATGTCCTGGCATATTTCATTTCAACCAGAGGTTATCACCCCTACAGCCAGGCAGAAATAGAGATGTGGGTAATTCAAGGATTTTGATTTTCAGTAATAATTTAAGTATTTGTATAATACTTTTAGTTGCTTTTTTTCTCCCAAGATTGTAATTACGTTAAGTGCTGATCACTAACAAAATCACCCTAATTCTCAAAACAGAAGAGAAAAGGTGGAAGAAGCTTCCAAACTGCTCATAGAAGGAATATGCTGAAAGGCCAACATGAGAAGGAAGCAACAGATAGAAAACGCAAACAAGAGGAACAAATGGAAACTGAGCAGTAAGTATTTTTTTTTTTTTTTTTTTAATATTTTGGTTTCTTTTTAAAGCTAGCATGAAGTTTTTAAACAGTAGAATCTCATTTTCTAGACCTTCATTTATGAAGCCTTTTGAAGAGAAGTGACTTCCCACATGTTAGAAAAATCTTCAGTATATGATGGTAATCATGTTTCATTCTTTTCTGAGAGGATAAAATTCACTGAGGTAATCACCCTGTGGATTATTTTTTAGTTTAACTTGAAAGTACAAATAGAATTTATCTGTTAGTGGCTTTGCAGAAAATGTACTCATCCTCCACTATTGTATAATATACTAAATATAGAGAGACTGTTGGTGGAGAAAGAATGCAGGAAATATCCTTGTTATACCACCAGCAGGCTTCCCCCAGAAGACCAGAAAAAATAACAAAAGCACAGTTGGAAACCCAGGAAGCCAGTAAAAGTAAATCTCAAGGCTGACAGGGTTTACATTAGATGTATGTAGTATAAAGTAAGTACAGAGTTTCTGTTAAGTTTTGATACTTGAAGAATAGTATATACTTAACATGGGGAATTTCTTTCCCCTTTAGATTATATAATTTTTTTTTTTTAATTAGAGGAAGGAAAATAATACCAGTGGTAATGATGATTAGACTTCGTATCTTTATTAAATTGGTTTTCATAGTTTAAACTGTCACTTCTGAGTTCTTTTCTCTGGAAAGCTTTTCTTTAGAAGTGTTCTACACTGTTATGACTAAACTGTTTTGTTGCTTTAGTAAGTGAGTTTTTTATATATGCTCTAGGTCAGTCACTAAGACAGAGTTAATGATGGGCAGTGAAACTCTTTAAACTGTTCCTAAATAATTTTGTACTTTTTTTCTTTATATAATACATTCGTAAGCGTGAAGTCTTTCTTTACAATTATAGCATTTCACTAGCTGCCCTCTCTTTTTGGAGGATATATAAGCAGTTTCATCTGCTTGAGGGAGTAAACCTGATCTAAAGGTCAGAAATGTTATTCCCTCTAATTTGTTAGACTTTGATCACTTATGTAAGTATTTTTTGTTACCTATCCTTTTCTGTCCTTTTACCAAAAAGTTGTTGGACTATTGCTTTAAACTTTATTGTGCCCCCCAATTAAAGATACAAAATCAGCTGTTGCTTAGTGTAAATCTAGCCCAACCCTTCTTCAGTTTATCTTTATGTATTTCAGTTTCTTTTTGAATGTCCTCCGAATGTAACTTTCTCAAATTCTAATATTTGTGTTTTCTTTCCTTCTCCTGTTATTACAAAACTTTGTACTTGGACAGTTTTGCTCTGTAAAGCATTTCAGATGCAGCTTGTATGAAATGCATTATGCAAAATAAAGTTTATTGTATTGTATTCCCAGCCAAACAACATGTAATCTACAGTAATAAAAAATATATCTCATTTTGGGCTCAAAGCATTAATCCAGTTACTGAAAAGAGAATACAAGTGGAGCAAACAAGCGATGAAGATCTTGAGACAGACTCATTGGACTGAATTTCCCCCTCCCCCCCCTTGATGGAAGAATGTTCCAGACTCTAAATTGAGGACTTCATTATTAATGTCGTTATTACTATGTTATGATTGTTAAATTTCCTGTAAGGTACACACTACATACTAAGGTCAGCCATCATTCCTGTTAAAAGTTTTTACCAAGCTTAAAAATGAAGCTTTGTGTATTTGAAAGTTACAACAAGCTCAGATGAAGATGGTGGTTGTACGTTATCATTTCATTTAGAAAATATTTTGAAGCTAGGTATTAAACTGGAATAGCTATTATACCCCCCCGAGAGTGGGGCAGTTGTGCCCTTACCTTGACATTCCTTTGTTGTTTAATTCTTTAGAATCTTGTTTTTTTTTTTTTTTTTTTATCCTGAGAGATTAAACAGTAGACTTGTTAAGAAAAAAACAAATGAAACTGTAACCAAAATTTTAAAATAAAGGTTTTTTTAAAAAACTGATTTTTAGATATTTTTTTGTTCTTGTCTATTTCAATTGGTTCATAATGTGGCCCGAATCCAAGCCAAGGTTCTAGAATTTGTTAAGAATTAATTTTTAAGAGGTTATTTTTTGTGATTCACAGAAAACTGGTACCTTTTCATTTGTGAAATGGTATGTAAATGTTGATATAAATTGATACAATTGGCAAAACAATAAAACTAATGTCAAACCCCTCAAATTATCTACTCTTTGGAGATGGGGGAATAGTAAGATTGGTCTACTTGGACACACCTTTTTTTTTATAATTGCTTTGTAGAATCTATGAAATATTCACAGGCATTCTCCTCCCACCATTACCTGTTTGCCCATTAACAATCCTGGTATTTTTGTTTTAATGACACACTAATGAATGTTGGAAATAAAATTTCACCATGACCGCTTTAAAATGACTCTGTGATGTCTCTGAAGAATAAGATGATTTTAATATGTTAATTTACTTGCGTTTTGCTTATCTTTTTATTAATGTGGTATTGCACAGTGTTAAGAATTAAGTCAACTGTGGTCTAGACTACAAAAAAAAATTTTAACTTTTACATAAGGGGTCCATGGGCATTTGGTAAACATAGTCGCAAAGTTCCAGTGTTTTGAAATATTTGTGTTAACATTTGATAGGCAGAATAAAGATGAAGGAAAGAAGCCAGAAGTTAAGAAAGTGGAGAAGAAGCGAGGTTAGTTATTTTACTTTCTAAGATTATACACAGAGAAGTTATACTGACACTGATTTTTCATGTGTTGGGTTTTGGAATCGGACTCATTTTATCTTGTTATATCCTACAAACACACTTTTTCAAATCCCTAATCAATTCCATATAAATTGCATTGTATTTTAAGCATAATGGTGAACCTGCTAAGTAGTCATCTTTAAATTTTAATGCTAATCATTGCCAAAAGCTAGGTACTTTTATTTATGATACATCTCCCGTGGTTTCATAGAGATTTTCTAGTTTTGGTTAAACTTGTTAAGCAGGTATTTAAGGAATAAGGTAGAGAACTCACTGTTGAATGCAGAGTAGTTTAGAAACAAATACAGCAGATGGTGATTTTATGCTTCTATGATGCATACTGTTTTCTTAAATACTAAACATGGCAGATAACTTAGCCTAACTTCTCAGTGATGCAGGCTATTATATATGTTTCTTAGTCAAGATTACTAAGAATACTTTTAAAAATACACCAATTCTTTTCAGCATACTTTGCTTAGATTTTACAGAAATACTCGTTTTGGAAAACTATTTATTGTCTTCCACGTATTTTAATTTATAGAAACATCAATGGATTCTCGGCTTCAAAGGATACATGCTGAAATAAAAAATTCACTCAAAATTGATAATCTTGTAAGTGATGCCTTATTTAAAAATAGAGTGCTGCTTCAATAGCTCGCTATTTTCTTTTTTTCGCATGATTTCATATGTATGTGTAAATTTAAGATAAAAGGGAGAGTTACTGGTCATTCTGTACTGCCTTAAAGTTATTTGATATTTTCAAAGTAATTTTGAAGAATAGATAATGTCACGATAATTAACAGTTGTAAAATTACTGTTTTGTCATGAAGGATGTGAACAGATGTATTGAGGCCTTGGATGAACTTGCTTCACTTCAGGTCACAATGCAACAAGCTCAGAAACACACAGAGATGATTACAACACTGAAAAAAGTAAGTGATCTCAAGTCGTAGATTAAAAAGCTTCCTTCATTAAAAAATAAAGTCTGTAATAATCAGGGTGAAAATCCTTTGGAAATGGATAGTGGTGATGGTTGTACAACACGTTAAATGTAATTAATGTCACTGAACTGTACACTTAGAAATGGTTAAAATGGAAATGTTATATATATGTTAGCACAGTATTTTTAAAATTGGCATTATAATAACATAAGTTACACAGTAAAATTACATTTCCTGCCCTAGCAGAATCACTTATCCTACGTGTCTGATAGACACAAGTCTAAGTCTTCTGGCAAATTGTTAGCGATTTCTATGGGGCTTTCACTTCACTTGTAAAGCTAAAATTCACCAAACAGTTTTTCTGTCATGGACTGAAACACTGGGACTTGGGAGGTCTAATTCTAACAATGAACCATAAAGATAAAGAGAAGGTACAACCTGGCATCAGAAAAGAAATCCAACTGATAACAATTCAACTGAAACGCTGCTGCTTCTGAAAAAGGGGGTGGGGGTGGAAATCAGTTGGGGAAATAATTACAAACGTTTTGTTTTCTCAGATACGGCGATTCAAAGTTAGTCAGGTTATCATGGAAAAGTCTACAATGTTATATAACAAGTTTAAGAACATGTTTTTGGTTGGTGAAGGAGATTCTGTGATCACACAAGTGCTGAATAAATCTCTTGCTGAACAAAGACAGCATGAGGAAGCAAATAAAACCAAAGATCAAGGAAAGAAAGGGCCAAACAAAAAGCTAGAAAAGGAACAAACAGGTATGTGGTAATAAATTTGAGAACTGGTTTCTAATTGTTACTGGGACTGCTTTTAAATGAGAAAAAGATCTCATAAAGCACTTGGTAGAACGTGTAGACCTCAGCCTTTTTTTTTTTTTTTAATTTAGTGAAAGCAAAACCAAATCAAACCAGTTGCCATCGAGTGGATTCGGACTTATAGTGACCCTATAGGACAGAATAAAACTGCTCCATAGGGTTTCCAAGGAGCAGCTGGTGGATTCAAACTGCTGAGCTTTTGGTTAGCAGCCTGAGCTCTAACTACTTTGCCACCAGGGCTCCCTATAGTTAATAGTAGTTGTTAATATTAATACTATACCCAGCTTCAGCAATTACAGTTTACAATTGTTGTTTTATGCCCCATCCACTTCACCTGTGCCATCCCTCAAACATTATTTTGAAGTAAATCTCTGATATACCATTCTATCTGTAAATTGTTCAGAAGATACCTATAACAAAACAAAAACCCACTGCCATCAAATTAATTCCAACTTGTGGTGGCCCCATGTGTTACAGAGTAGAACTGAGCTTCATAGGGTTTTCTTGGTTGTAACCTTATACAGAAGCAGATCACCAAGCCTTTTTTCCATGGTGCCACTGGGTGGGTTTTCAACCCTCAAGCTTTAGATTAGTAGTCAAGCACAAACCATCTCTGCCACGCGGGGACCTAATAAATCAATAAAAGACTCTTAAAACACGTTCACAGTACCCTTATCAGCCCCACCCCATTTCATGTTAGTAAATATCATAGCTGCTTAACATGGAAACTAACATTCAAAAGCAATTAAATTTTTTTACTCCTATTTATTAGGGAATGATTATGTCTTCTTAAAGATCTGTTAACAAAATAAGCCTTACTGGAAGAACCCCATTGTTCACTTAGTAGGGCACAAGATTGTGCCAAATAGGAAATATTGCTTATTAACACTTTTTGTTCTAAAATGCCAGTGATAAATATGAAATTTCACTATAATTTTTTTTCTTTAAAAACTAGACTAACTCGTGCTCAAAAGAGTTGTATCACCCTGTAGTCTTCCTGGTAATACTAAGCGAATTAATACTCTACCTGTAGATACACGTAGTAACCCTACTTACTGCTTTGTGCCTTAGCTTCCAAAAGGATTTCGGTGGTTATCAGTTGACAGTGTAGCTTTTTTATGAAATTATTATTTATTGTAATTATTTATTATAATGTAACCTTAAATAAAATAGGTTAAGTATTGGAAACCTGCTGGCCATGTTACATTTTTGATTCTGGATCTCTACATCTTCAGGTATTAGAAGTTCTAACAGTTTTTCTATTGCAATCCTTCAAAAGGTTCAAAGACTGTAAATGGAGGATCTGATGCTCAGGACAGTAATCAGCCACAGCATAATGGAGATAGCAATGAAGAAAGCAAAGATAACCATGAGGCCAGCTCTAAGAAAAAGTAAAGACGTGTTAATTGCCTTCATGTGTGTTTTTGTAAATCATAGCACTGTTCTAAGGTTATTTGTATATTTTAATCACTTTATTACTGAATTCAGGAAGCAAATTGCAAATCAAAAGCAAAAAAGTTAAAATTTTTATTTACAACTTATTTGCTCACTGTACTCAAGGGAATGGAACTAGGTGAGAACCCCATTTAAAAAAATATTGTTCCCTGAAATTCTTTTAGTGATATACCTGCATAATGACTTGTTCTCAACTTTCTTGGATTGTGAAAGGATAATAATTTAAAATTTAGGTCTACAGTGAGAGTTTATTTCTTATTATAGTACCTACCCTGTAGTAACTAGCTTAGGAACCATAGTTTACCAAGTCTTGGTTTGCTGTGCATTCCCTCTAATTCTGTAAGTTAAGGAAATCTTGTCTAACCCTCCTATTTTTATTAAAGCTTTTATTATGTTGGTATTATAGATGTAATATTTTCATGTTCCTTGAATAACTCTCTTTAAAGGTAGAAATGATAGAGCCTGGGTTATATTGATGGTGATGCTTGAACGATTTTTCTTGATTTGCATATTACCTTGGGAAGAAACATGGTTAATTAAAATTTTGAACAAGGTAAACAATAATGATAGTGCCTTAATGACAAATCAAGGTTTCTTTTTTAAATCTCTTTGTAGTGATATTTTAAATGTAATGTACAGATTTAATGTCTTTTCTTTCCCATGAGAAAATAAAGCTCTAATCCTAGTTGTCACATCTTTATTTTCCCCTTTAGGCCATCCAGTGAAGAGAGAGAGACTGAAATCTCTCTGAAAGATTCTACACTAGATAACTAGGTTGATGTAACCACGAACATAAAGGACACTTGAGACGTTTGTAATGGTTTTCGTTGGAAATATTTAGACTGCTGAAACTGAAAGTTTTAAATTTTTATAAGCATAGGTTTTGATGTTAAACACTTGTTTTGAGGGAGAAAATCCCTTTATCTTTGTTTAAAATTAAACATTATTGCTAATTCTACTTGTGCAGTATTAACAGTATATGTGGGGAAAAATCCATTTAGAAAATGTTAATCTGCTTTTCCAGACATTATGGTTGTAGCATATTTTCAATTAGCGAGTGTAAGTTAACGTGTAATTGATAGTAGAGAAGTTACATTTTTAAAACTGCTACTTGTATAATACCTTTCCTCTTTTAGCTAATACTGTGGTTTCTGTGCATAGTTTTTACTCATGTTGGATTTACCGGACTGTCTTTTCACTGTGGGTTTTGTAGAAGTTGAGCATTTTTATGGTAGATAAAATGTTACTTCTATACAAGTACTCACTCCCTCTTTTTATCAAAGTTAAGTAAGTTTAATCTCACTCTATGTTGTGCTACATTATTCTGCTTCTTTGTAACAATGTGTGGTCTGTATGCCTTTTTGTATGACAACTAGATATCCAACTGAAGTTGAACTGACCATTTTGCAAGGTACAAAACTCGTTAATTTTTGAAGGTAGTTTTGTGGCTGGGAATTCAGTAAAATCACATGACTTTTCCTGCAGAGAGCAGAATGGGTTAAATATTAGAATGAATCTGGCATTAGAGTATTAACCTTTTTGAAATCAAACATTTAAGATCCTTTATAAGCACTAGAAGCTAAATTTGAACGCTAAATGATAAAAGTTTGAGAAATGCCTCTTTTTTTTAAGTCACACTCATTAAGGAAGTCACTTAAATAGTATTTTTTTAATTGGAAAAATCGATCTATAATAATGCTTATGCAGTAAATACAAGTAAATATTATATAAAACTAACCTATTTGAAAACATGGCTATATTAGAAGGTAATTTTTAATCTTCATTTCTATATCATATATATGACACGATGCAAAGAATAGAAACATGGGTTGCTTGAAGGCAGTTGACAAAGTAACAGTACTTTTGACAGTCTGTTCATATTGTGCTAAATCAGGGTGAACTGTTTGTTAACACAAAATTTAAGGGTATAAAAACAAAAGGATAGCAATGTATTTTGAATATTAGGTCAGCTGGTGGATTTCAATAGCTAAAAGACACTTCTCATGTTTTGAAACTATGAATATGGGAAAATGGCTTAATAAAAGGTAAGAGCTGTAAGTTTAGGCATGTGGTTTGGAAGTTGCCCCCCAAAAAAGTGTGTGACAAGCATTGGATATTTTAACTTCATGGATAATTATTTTCATCTATAGATGAAAAGTGTGAATTTTCAATTTCAATAATTGGAATTTTGCTTTTGAAGGGTCTTATAATGGAACTAGGACCCATTGTTTCGATGGAACTCTGCTATATTATACAAACCAGTCATTATCTGTTTGGATTTGGACAGATTGTTCTAGTTAAGCCATAAGTGTCAACATGTAAACTTGTTTTGATTAAAGAATTTTTCTATCAAACTCTACTAGTAAATTACTTTTTTTTGCTATTTACAAGAGGCAAGAGATAAGATTTCTGGATTTGCTACCAAGGAAATAATTTAGTTAATTGGTCAGAGATTTTGTTTGGGGAGACAGGGTAACAAAAAAGCTCAAAATTATAAAAATAAAGGAAATGTTATTTATCTTTTGTCCAGCCTCCCCTTTTTTCCCATGACCCAACAAGTCTATAGTTTACCAAGAAGCCACAGAATATATGACTTCTGGAGATCCAGGAGTCTAATCATAATTTATGTCTGCTTGCATGGGTTGACCTTGCTCTAACCAGTTGATACATGTTAAGTTGATTTCTTATCAGTCATAGGGTGATTCACAGATAAGTAGCATTCTCAGAACTCTTAAGGTCATGTGACTAATTATCAAGAACTTTCAGGACCACTGGCTCAATTTAAATAGTGCATTTGGTCAAAACTATAGCTGAAAAAGCTGCTAAGACGCTTTCCTATTTAGAGATAGGAAAAAAAATGTGTATGTATGTTATAAACAATATTTCGTTTTGAGAAAGTTTCACATGACCCAGCAGAATCATGAAAATGAAAACATGGCTATATTAGAAGGGAATTTTTATCTTCGTTTCTATATCATATATATGACACGATGCAAAGAACAGAAACATGGGTTGCTTGAAGGCAGTTGACAAAGTAACAAGTAACAGTACTTTTGACAGTCTGTATATTCATATTGGGCTAAATCAGGGTGAACTGTTAACACAAAATTTAAGGGTAATAGCACTGTATTTTGAAAATTAGGTCAGCTGGTGGATTTTCTCAGCTGCTTGTGGAAATTTCCAGGGCTTTGAACTGGTTCGTTTCCGTTCAACCCCCTGCTGAAAATTTCCATTTCCACTACAGATGTACTCAATCGGAATCTACATTTTAACAAGATCCCCAGGTGATTCTTTGGTATACGTAAGATGTTATCATTTCAAACAGAGAACCTATTTAGGACTTTGTATAAGCCTTATAATAGCTATTCTAGTTTCAAAATAGTAGGATACAGATTTTACCCAGTTTTTGCTGATAAACACTGAAGTGTAGTGTACTAAACGTGGACCTGTCCACATACACTTACCTGGTTAATGGTGTCAGGTCAAGATGAGGTCTGCCATCTAGTCTTGTATGAGAGCAAACGCTTTTATAGGACTCTATCCCTTCTCTGGCCAGTGTTATACAATCTATTGGAAATAGCATACCTGTAATAAGCCCTCAAGAAATGGCGAAACTGCTGTACAGGCAGAAATGTGTTTATATTTGTGCTGTGTAATTTCCCAATCTTAGAGATAACTGATCTTTCTCTCAGGAAAGGATCTTGTTTGAATAGATCATGGCAACATTTTCATATTTGCTTTTCTTAATTAGATAAAGTGATATTATATGTAATAACAGTTACGATGTGTTTAATAGATTGAAATTCTTGGTTTAGGGAATTTATAGCTGCAAATTGCACGAAGTTAGGAATTTCTTAAGACTTAAGCTGGTAACACACTGGCAAATTCTGGGAGTAACCTAGTTAGCATTTCCTCTCTTGGTTTCACCGGGAAACTTTTAACTTTGGTGCAAAAGCTAAACTGAAGAACCAGCAGGATAATATTCTTAATGATAAAACACTGTATTATGTTTTAACTGACATTTTTCTTTTTTTGTTCACTAAGATGAACTGACTGGCACCACACAGAATAATGTGGTAAGGCAATAATTCACTTTCTGGAACCTGCTGTCTTGAGAGCATGAAATGATGAAAAGGAATAAAAGTAAACCTTTGCATATTAATAATGAAACAAGAATACATGTTTGCTAGCAGACTTTGAGGAACTGGGTAAATCACTCATTTACCTTAAACCTATGGTTATTTTCAATATGCTGAGCATTAACACATTTGGATTCATAGGAAGGTAGGTAAAAATTTAGGCACAACGTAAGCCAGCCTGTTGTATGGACTGAATCCGTGAATAAGAACACCATTAGACATACCAGAAACAGGTGCTTGTTATCTCCACACCAGTCGACTTAATTGGATACGTGGCATTTACGTCCATAAAGCATATGAAATAAGTGTATACAGGCCTCACCAGTTTTTGATTTATATTGTAAAAGTCTGTTCATAGTCATCTGGGAAACTGTGAAATTCAGTTGAATTTAAATATAACCTAGAAGAAAGAGAGTGAAACATAAATACGACACATTTAAACTGAACTAATTTATATTACAACATTTCACAGTCTGAAAACAGTATTAAATTTTCCACTCCAAAATGGAAATGGTTTCCAGAAGATTTCAAATATAGCTACAGTTTTCTCTGATGATCTTGACCTCAGAAGCTATGAAAAATTTTCTCTTTGGCTCAGAATGAGAAAATAACTAGGATTATCTTAAGGGGATCAAAACAATGGTAGAGCTTAGCCAGAGAAACTTTTTTCTTTTTGCTATAGAACTAGATGTTATGGCCTGAGAGTAAGTGAGCCAGAGCTAGCAATCCATAGGCTCCTGATTTCTCTAGTCCCAGTCGTCATAGTGCATAAATTATGCTAGTGCTGATTTTTCTTTATCATCAAAATATTTAATTGTTCTACATTTTAAACTTAACTGATTCACAAAAAGTTCTTGCCCAGACCCAGAAATGAAGCTTCAATTTAAATGTTACTTCTCTGAGGGTAGTTGACCTATCAAGATCTATTAAACTCACTATGTAGTGAGTCTCATTAAAACGTCTAGTGTGCCTTTCTATCAAAAAAAACTTAAAAAATATAAGAGCCCACTATAAAATTAAATTACACAACTGTTCTTAATCTTATATTATTTATTAAATAATTTCCTCTTTGCTTAACTTCTATATTTTATTACAGATATTTGAAGGATCTGTACCTTGGAAGCCTCATTGTGCAAGGTATAGCTCTCACATTCTTCAAAGAATTTCACAGCACTTCCACCACTTGATGGGTCACATCATTAGCAAAAAGCACTCTGGACACAATTAGAATGAATAGGCAAGCCAGACTGGGAGAAAAACATCACAACACATGTATCTGACAGAAGACTTGTATTCAGGTAAATAAAGCACTACTATAACTCAATATAAACAACCCAGTTAAATATGGGCAAAAGCACTCTGAATAAAAAATATCCTTTAATAAATACTAAAATAATTTACCGTATATTAAGTTTCTAAGCCTTAAATACAATCAAGTTACTTCATTAGAAAATCTATGATTTGACTTTTTTTGTAGCTTAAGCTGATTTTTCAGGTGGATCCTTTTCCTCAGTGGCACTTCTTGTCCATAACCACCCAAGAGGACAGTTATTTTCCAAGGGTTCTTTTTTTGTTGTTTTTGCCTTAATTAAAGGTTCCTGGATCAACATAAGGATAAGCAAGGAATTCCCCCAGCTTGTTGCCTTCTGAATCATAGTGCAGCATTCGGAAGCAAACATCACAAAAGAAACATGGATCCTCTGGTGCAAAACTGTCATTGTTTGTCACCCACCTGTAGTTTAAAAAAAAAAAGATGGACATCAGTACAAACAAGTTTTTCATGCTGTTAACATGCTCTACGTTATGATCTGTAGTAATACGTAGGTTTAACTTCCCCACTATTCCCTTATTCTACCTTATTAATACATTATAATCCTTTATATTATTTTGTATACATAAATATCAGTACCCACTGTAGAAGGCAAAGGGCACACCTAACACTAAGAAACACTGCAGAATGCTGTTTTCCTGAAAGACTTGCCCTGAAAAGGTGAATACAGAAAAATCTGTACTTGAAAGCATCATACATTTAGCATCACATACCTGTCCTCTAAGTAACTGCTATTACGAACACAGTCATTTTCCTTTAATAGACTGTCTTGAAAAACCATGATAAAATTAGATACTAAGGCTCTGATATGCTTTGCTTATCTTTTTAACTGGCAAATCAGTCCTGGTTAATTTGAAAACTCCAGCTGTTTAACCTAGAATTGAGAATAAAATGTTACAATTTGGTGTGTATACTTTATTCCGCTGAGATTATGTTTTTGGCCTGAGATGATCATTGACCACAGTAAGAAGAAAGTGCTATGTTTTCGCATCTCTTGGAATGTCTGCTTACTCTTAACACTGCCCGATTTTAACTTTGACCTGATTTATCAAGTTTCTCTGTTGATCCTATAGAAAAGCATGTTATGGTGTGGAACCGCAAACAAACTGAAGATACTTAATTCTTCCCTATCCCTCTGGTCTTCAAACTTTGACTCTGATCCACATTAAGAAACACCTTATAATCTAAACATGCAGAATCATGTCAAACAAAAATTTATTTACTCAAAGAATATCCACGAAGAGATGGAAATTAAAAAAAAAAAAAAAAAAAAGTGGGAATTCAGGAGTTGAAAAGCACAATAACCGAAATGTAAAATTCTAGAAGCTCCAAATGTTCTAAAACTGTGGTGATGGTTATACAACTTTATGAACATGCTAGAAAAAACACTTTGAATTGTATACTTTAAATGGGTAAACTGTATATATGTGAATCATATCTTAATAAAGCTGTTTAAAACAAAACAATTTTATGAAACTATATTTGACCTCATTACATTGTGAGGTACTGTAGTATTTTTTCGTTGAGGTGAAGAAGCTATGAGGTGGAGGTTACTTTGTAGACTGCAGAAAAGAGGCAAAAAGAACATCGCTCCCTGATGGCATCAGTGAGCCTCTGTATCAACAACTCTGAAGTCTAACTACCCGTGGACGTCTGCTATACATGACAATGTTATTTCCTTACTATTACATTAAACTGATTTTGTACCACTTCCCTAACTAGATAAAACCACAAAGTACAAATCCTCAGATCCAAAACAGAAAAGAACTGAAATACTAAAGTAAAAAGTACCTGACTATTGAAAACCAGTACTTGTCAAAGAAAAAAATAGGTATTACCTGGCAGTGTACATTTTACAAACAAAACATTTTCTCGTCCATAGCCAGTGCTTCTTGGTAAGAAGGGGATAAAGTGTCCTATCCAAGCAGTCATCACGATGCACAAGCCTTTTACACATGAGAAAATACAGATGAAGATATTAAAGTGCAAATTTTTATGATTTGTAAAGAATCAAAAACAAATACTTGTACCTCAACATTAGGAACAACAGTGTATTTTTCAGTGTCTTGTTTTACAGAAATTTTGGTAAACTGACTTGTTACATCAGGTTTAAACAAACTGTGTTCCACAAACTACTTTCTCAAAAAAAAGCATTTAGGACTAAACAAGGCTTTCTCTCCTGTGAGACTTCCCAAATCCCTTTATGGTGATATGTGCTGTGATTCTAAGAATATAGTATTTCTTGAATATATTCCTTCACAGAATCCTTGCTTTGCCCAACACTTCATACATTCTTAAGGAGTATAGTTTGAGAAAAGCTACTCAGTACCAGTTTACCTAGATTAACTGGTTGTTACAATGTGGCTTTTTTTTTTTTTTTTTTTTTACTGTTATTAATGTCCACATCTGGCTCCTGCTATTGTTTGAATTCGTAGAACTTTTCAGTTTCAAGTGTCAGAACCATGAAACTATTAAGCAACTGTGAGTGGAAGTCAGTCTCCACTCAGCCACTAATCAGCTGTATGACTTTGGGGTAAATCCCCTAAGCATACTGGACCTCCTGATGATTCATTTGAAAAATGAAGAGACTGTGCAGGATTTATTTTGAAGGATCAGAAAATTTGATGTTTTTTTTCTCTATAAGAAAAGGGTAGCAAATAACTTCACCATAAGAAAATGATTAAAGTACTAAACTTGACAGTTGATAGTATGGAATGGTATTGAGTGATTAAATCTGCCTGTAGATGAAAATGACTTGTAGTCTAAATTACTTTTAAAAGTTCTTAGACAAGTCCCACATTGCACTCTTACAGACTGTAAATTGTTTTTACTTCAGCATTGGAACAGATCAGTTTCTCTTATTTAGCACTGCGTCAAGAATTTGCCTTGAGTTCAAGGGCCACGTTTTGTTCTTCAGCCTTGACTGACACCAAGCTACAAGAGGTGTAAGGAAACCAAGATGACCAGAAAATGGTGGACTGTTTGCACTTGACGCTTATTCTAAGACACATTCCCCCTCATCTGCGTAGAAGAACAGGCAGAGTAGCCTACATAAAATTTAACACATTATCAAAGAAATAAATGTGTTGTACACAGTTTTTAAAGCCATATAAATCTATGAGGATTGTAACGGCTCTCCTGGCTCCTGCCTTACTAATTCTTAACTGTTTCTTTAGACTGTAGCTCCTCGACATCCCTCTACGGAAGTATATTTTGGTGAAATAGATACTTAATGTGTTTAAATTACGACCAGAATAGAGCCTCTCTAACCTCTCCAGGTGATAATTCACATTTATTTAAATTATTTATCCCTCTGTTAGTCCCTCTACTAGGGTAGTTGTTTCTGCTGTGCTCATATAGTTGATATGAAATTAAATGCCAATAAGATATAACACACAAGGTGACAAACACAAGTTTGTTCAAGTTCTATAATCCCAGCAGTTGGGATACATTCAGCACAAAAACACATGGTCCTTAGGTTTCCTCACATCAACCTCTCTTCCATACATTAAACTCTAACAATTGTGATTTAAAATTCTCACATGAACACTCCTAGTGACAAGCATCTGATTGCCTCAAAAAAATTACATTTTAATTTTGCTTCTTTCTCATTAACCATTTTACTTTACATTGAGCCAAAATCTCTAATGACTTTCCCCTTAGTGGGTCCCTGTTACTATCCTTTGGAGAAAGACAATGCTATTTATCAGTTCTACACATAATAATTTCTCTGCTGTAATGCAAAAATTTTCATATGTCATAAATGTAGCTAGTAGCACATTTTATTTCTAAGCAATAAAATGAACTAAATATAAGGTGTTTTACAAAAAGGAATTATATAAAAGGGTATCTCAAGTGTTTTATAAACTTTTTTTTTTTTTAATCTTGGCCTTTTCCAGGCTAAAATTGGAACTCTGAAAGTCAGTTCATTAGTTGGAGAGCTGAAACTTGGAATGTATTTTCGCACAGAAACAAAGTTACAAAGGGCGATATTACATTGGTCCAATAGTCCAATTACTTACAGTAGGCGTTTGTACTTCCTTTTGCAATTTACCCTTCAGCAAACTATATCCACATTCAGTAGAAGGCTGCTCTAGAAGAGGGTGCATGTAGGGGTAGTGTTGGGTGCCGTTAAGTCACCACCTCACAGTGACCCTATATATGACAGAGTAGAACTGCTAGGGAAATGAAATAGGACAGTGACCTACCAAGCTACAGTATTTCCCAAAGTTACCTCAGGATAAGAATCACATAGGGTGTATTTAAACATAGTGACTCTTTGGCCTACCCAACCCTACTGATACAGAAACCCTGGAGAACTTCACAGTTGGCAAGCACCCCCAGCTGATTTTTATCAGAGACTAGTTTGAAAAACAGTAGGGGAATGGAGACATGACCTTAGAGGGCCAGCAACTACCCCACTGAGGGGAAAGAACGGGAACAAGTGCTCAGCTGTGTTTTGGAAGAACCCAAAACTCAAGAGAAGTGAAAGCAGGGACTTCTCAAAGGCATCAGATCCTTCTACGGGCTAATAAAAGCGCTGGTGTATCAGTGCTCCACAAAAAACCTAAAATGGTCTTTCAGAAGGCATCAAACCAGAGAGAAGAGGGCTTATTCCTACATATCATGTCCTTCCTCAACAGAGATTTCCTAAAGAAGGAGGAAACGAGTATCTATTCATGGGGATTGAGATTTTGGGATCAGTCAATAAATTTTGTATAGCTGGTATCTCTATTCATGAGGAACAGCAATAGCAGCTATTCAAAATACATTAAATGATCCCAAAATCTCATTGTAGACTATTTTAACGCCTTCCGAATTTAAACCTTTACAAAGCATTAAGACTTCACACTTGTCAAATGGTTACAATTTGTCTCCTTGTCCCCTATTTCCCTTTTCTCTCCTAAAAGTTTTGGCAAAAAAGGCCAAGATACCTAGCAATATAGTTGCAAATGTGCAAAGCAAAGGGCCTGTAAATACACACAATGGAAGACTACCACCTGAATAACAGCTGCTTAATATGCAAATAGATATACTTTTTAAAAGTATTTACAGATTTTCAACCTTCCAATAAACAGTAAAGTATTTCTTACGTAGTTATGTCACTAAACAACATAAATATAAATGCAAAGGGACGCAGCAAGAGTTGGTCACTGCATGGAAATTTCTGCTACTCCCAAGCCAAGCTGCAGTGGTAACTTTGATTCCTTTTGTTAATTTTTTCAAGTACCTGTGCTTTTGCACTATGAAATAGAAGAGAAGGACAACAGAACAAGTAACAAGATGTTCTGCACCTACCTTATGTCGGTAATGACAACAACATGTTCACAGTCTCCCTGGTGACAGTATAAGTAAGGAAAGCCCAGTTTGATAGACAAGTCACTAAAGGTGAAATCTTCCATGTTAGCAGTCTGAAACTTGCCATAGCCTCTATCGTGGGACTCTGACCACTCAATGATAGTTCTGTGGAGGGTAAAAGAGCACAGATGTATCACTGCTTGACGAAAACTTTAAAATGACAGAGAGGGGTTTCTACTGCAGTATTTTGCGCACAGAGGTTCACCCAAATAACTGGACAGTTCCATCTGAAGAGAGCAGGCACAGGGGTTGATACAGGCTGGAATTAGGAACGCTGAATTTTCTCCATTTATTACAGCAGTGGGTCACCGGGTGGTGCAAATGGTTGAGCCCTCACTATAAAAAACTGAAAGTATAATTTCGCCCCCAAGAACAAACAAAACACACTAACAACATAATTCTTGGCAAAGATTTTCACAGACCAATAACAGAATTTACTGAGATATAACAATTTTGAAAACTAGAAATTAGAAAGATTTTTGGAAACTATACCTGCTCAGATCTCTGCATTCAGGATATCGTTTATCATTGTAAAATGTTCCTTCAAAATAAAAGAAGGCTGATTTGTATAGATCCTATAAGAAAACAGATGGTGTTGAAAAGTCCATTATTAACAATTATGAAATTGCTCTAATTATTAATTCAAAATTTGTATGTAAGAGTACACTAATATGTGTTGTGGTAACTTTATGAAACGTCATAGAATATGCTCAGCTCATTAATTTGTTTAACACTTAATGGGAACTTACTATGTGACAAGTATTGTGTTAGTCACCAGTATTTTATCCTGTTGCTGTTTTAATTGCTGGGTTGGATTTAAATCTGTTATGTTCTGTGGCGATTCATGAAAATAATCCAAGTAGAAATGAAATAAACTTCAGTATTATTTTACTATATGCAAACATAGCAATGGAAATTATATTGGATACTGGAACTAAAGTTAAATAGTCACATCTCTCTCTGATGTTTCCTAAGTGAAGCCTCACTGATAATGACAGTGATCATCGAGTTATGTTTTCTGACATTTTTGTATTTTCAGTATGCTTTTACAAAAATTCTCTCCTAACTGCAATAACTCTTAGGCAGGCAGAATGTGATTGTCTGTTCTTTGTAGTCTATCCTGCCCAAGGTACCACAGTGGTAGCACAATTAGTGTGAACCCTCAGGTTTTTGAACTTTCAGTCTACCAAACTTTGTATCAGAGGGGTGGCTCTTAACACTGATGGCATAAAAGAATCTCAAAAATACCAAAGTCTCATCTCAGACTCATTAAATAAGAATCTGAGGATGAGGCCCAGACATGAGTATTTTTCCAAAGCTCTCCAGGAGTTTTTAATGTGCAGTGATGAGAGCCACTTGTTAAACTTGTCCTTTAACCTATGCTTAGAATAAGGCACTGCATGAGGGCCAGAAGACCTGGGTTCTTTTCCTTAACCTACCACTGGCTAGCTTTGTGACTCTGGGTATGTAACTGTCTACTCGGACTTCAGTTTCCTCAGCTGTAAAGTGAGAATAAGAATTATCTGCCATGCTACCTAACAGGGCTGGGGTGAGAATCAAAAGCAGTTTGTGACTGTAAGTGATATGTAAGTTTTAGGTATTAAAATGCTTTTACTCTAATACCTAATTTACCTGATTTATCCTAATTTCTCTTCTACTTCTTTGGAGCTCTTATTTTTCTTTATTCCCCCATTTATAGATCATCGGGCTTTGGATTCAGATACCCTCAAAAGATTAGATGTGCAGTTTGGTCTTGGACCAGTCAGAAATCTCAATGACCCTGTGTTTCCTCATCTTTAAACTATGATTAACACTATTACCTTCTTCATAGGTTATTGTGAAGAAAAAGGATACAATGTACTGTAAAGCCATGCCTGGCTGATACAGCACAAATCTGCCACTTAATATACTTCTAAACCCTCAAAGAAGACAGTACAAAAACAAAGGTTCTGAAAGAATAACACTATTGCCTTATTTTAGAAACAAAAACAAAGTTCAATCTATATAAAATTTTGTTCATTACGAAATGCTTCTACAGAACTTAAGTGATTTTAAACAACCTAATATATTTTGAAAGGAGCCCTGGTGGTGCTGTGGTTAAGTTCTTGGCTGATAACCGAGAGGCTGGCAATTCAAACCCACCAGCTGCTCCATGGGAGAAAGATGTTGCAGTCTGCTGCTTTAAAGATCACAGCCTTGGAAACCTTATGGGGCAGTTCTACTCTGCCCTATAGGGTCGCTATGAGAATCGATTAGACAGCAATGGGTTTAATAAATTCTCACATAGTTATTAATATCCTATCAAGAAAACAATGGGATTTTAGAAGGTTAATTCTAAAAACAACAAAAATGTTTTCCGTCTAAATCCTAAGTCGTTAAGAACTTTTCCTTATCTTAGTATATAAATGGATAGCACAGAAGATGTGGAATAATCTCAATACTGGTGAATTTTCAGTTTCAGTGGAAGGAAAATCTTTACTAGTTTCCCTGTTTTTGACAGTACCTTGGCTAGTTTAGCTGACCAAGTTCCAAGGGGGGAAAACAACCAACCAACATGGAAAAACTAGTATAAAAAGTTACTTCTATTATTAATTAATCTAAATGGGTCTGTAACATAAGAGTCTACTGTTACTATCTCTGTTTTAACAAGTAACTCTCTATAACTAGTATGGTCGTTTGAACAAAGTCATTACTTAGATATAATTTTAAGCATCCTTCAGTCTTGCAAACATTGAAATCAGCTATATTAGAACTTCAGAAACATTCCCAAGACCTGCTGTGAAGGAAACAGTAATGGAAGAGAAGAGCTGGAGAAGCTCGGTTAAGGAAATCTTTACAACTTAAAACTCATGTTACTGTTTTTCCTTTACAGTAAAGGCTGTATAAGTAGCAAAATAATACGCATGTAAAATATTTTCTTAAGAGTTCTTCCAAAAAAGACCCTGAATAGATTATTGACGAAAAATACTGACTAATCTGAGCAACGTATAAAAGGTAGGTAGATCAGAATATCAAAACATGAAGGGCCATGTTTTTTAAAAACTTGATCAGAAAATACTGGTAATGATTTCTACATATACTTAAAAAATACACTCCATTCTTGAACTACTACAGTTCAAAAACAAACTTTAGCAAGACATAGTACATTTTAGACATAAGCTTTGAAAAGACATTTAAATATACTGGTCCAACTCTCCTAGTCCTCTCACATACCAAATTCACCAAAGGAAATGTTTTATTAAAAAGTCCTGCTTTATTGGTTAGAATAAAGATTCTCACCTCAGCTACAAGAGCCTTGTGGGGCAGACAGGCACACATCAAGTAGTATCAGCATACTGTAATAAGTGCTATAATGAACAAATGAAAAGGTGCTCGGGTGGCAAAGAGAGGTCAGGAAAAGTTTTATGTAATAAGTTAATCTTAAGCTGGGTTTGGAAATATGATTACAAACCCACCAGATGGGTGGAGGGAGGGCGGGAAAGGGCTCTTTACCATGTTCAAACACTCGAGGCATGAAAAAGTGTGGTGTGCTTGAGAAGGATACATGAATTTATTGTGGCTGAACCATAAGGTGCAAAGGTAGGGGGTGAGTAGCATGGAAAGTTAAGCTGGGAATTATTATAAAAAGCCTTAGATGTCAGCCTAAGGAGTCTAGACTAAAGGTGGTGGAGACTCACTGCGATTTTGAAGCTGAGAATGAAAGGCTCAGTAGCTTGATGGAAAGGCATGGAAGAACAAAGCATTTACCAGAATGTTGATGAATCTGCCAGACGAATCACTATTTCCCTAGCTTATTATTATTTCCTCTTGTTTTATGGGGAAAAAAATCAACTTACTTTGCTGATGTGCTCAGGAGCTTGGTCAGGAGTGTTGCTGAATTCCCCACCGATCTGGAGGTCACTGACACAGCAAATTGAATCCCTCAGTTCTGTGAGCTTTTGACTGCCCAGTACCAGCATGGTCTGGTATGGTTTGTGTTCTTTGTGCTAAAAGTCAAACGTAAGTTAGTTAGTTTCCACTTGGACAGAAAGCAATTAAAAAAAAAATTCTGTTATAGCCAAGTCTACATTAAATTACTGTTTTTTTTTTTTAATTTAAGCTAAAGATTATAATCAAAATGCTATTAACTGACATTATTATTAAGAATCTTTGGGATATAATTTCACCTAGTAACACTGTCTTCTAATTTCCCAGAAGCTACTTCATTCAAGTCAAAGGTTCTTTTGTTGTTTTGTATTGGGGTTGGTTATTTGAACTCTGAGAACAATTTCCCCACAGAAAAAAGGTAATTAGTACTAATTATATACCAGATATGTCAGTAAAGTCTATTTATTCACAAGTACATTATTTATACACTAATATTCCAATTAAACCTTATCATCAATAATGGTACATCTATTTGGGAAATCAAGAATATACAGTTGGCATCTAAGATACAACTATTGGTCTCTTCCCTTTTGGAGCAAAGAAGAGTGAAGAAAATCAAAGACTCAAGGAAACAATTAGTCCAAAGGACCACATGTACCACAGCCTCCACTAGCTTGAGACCAGAACTAGATGGTGCCCAGCTACCACTACTGACCGTTCTGATCAGGATCACAATAGAAGGTCCTGGACAGAGTGGGAGAAAAATGTAGAACAAAATTCAAATTCATAAAAAAGACCAGACTTACTGGTCTGATAGAGACTGGTAGAATCCCCCACAAGACTATGGCCCTTAGATACCTTTCAAACCTGGACCTGAACCCACTCCCGGAAATCAACTTTCAGCCAAACAATAGACAGGCCTACAAAGCTCCTCAGAACAATCAAGCACATGAGACCAAAAGGACAGCATTTGCCCAAAACAAAGTTCAGAAGGCAGAAAGGGGCAAGAAAGATGGGTGAAAGGAAATGGGGAACATAGGGAGGAAGTGGGTAGAGTGCTGTCACACTGAGGGGATTGAAACTGATGTCACAAAAACAAAATGTGTATAAATTGTTTAATGGTAAACTGCTTTGCTTTGTAAATTTTCACCCACCCAAACCACAATAAAATGTTCAAAACAAAAAAAAAACATTCACTATGGGCTGGGACAGTCTTTTTATTAGCGACACCTCAGAAATTCCTGGATATCCCAATTTGTTAACTTGCTATATTTTCATCAAAGAAGAGCTCTAGTAGTTAGTTCAATATCTTCCCAAGTATTCTGAATTGGTGAACAAAGGTCACCTAATTCCTTGACCAGCCACCCATTCTGCAAAAAAACCTTAAGGATTTGCAGAATTACAATCATTTTAGATTTACATACATTTTCTGTTCCTTTTAGTGCAGAAATTAGATAAATATTCCAACTCTATAATTATAATCCTATTAATCAAGGCATTATTAAAATTTTGACTTTATTTATAACACTCCTCATTAAAACAAGGAACCCAAGAATATACAGACTGTCAACTGTGAAAATAAGATATCATAGAGATAACATATAGTTGAATTTTTTTGAACCCTAAGGAATGGGAATTTTCAAAAACTAGAACCTATGACTAAAGTTACTCATATTATCTGTGAAATCCAAAAGGTTTCAACACTGACCTTATGAAATATAACAGGGTACAAGATATTCAGAGATAGGATAAGCTCCCCCTCTTCAACCAGGTCTGCTGGATTTTCAGGCCTTTTTCCTATGGCATGTGATTCCTGAAGGAGGAAAACGAATTAAATAAGAGAGCTTGAAGTCAAACACTGTGACTCAGATAACAGGCAGCGTGGCGCCACAGCTATAAGCAAAGGCTTGAGTCTGACAGGCCTGGGTTTGACTTCCATCTCAAGCAAACTGCTAAACCTCTCCAAATTTCATCTTCTGTTTAAAAAACAAACAAGCCAGGAAATATTTTTTTTACAGATAGAACTGCTGTTGGAAATGTGTACAGAAAGCACCTAATAAGATGTCAGGCACTAAGTGCTCAGCAATTGATAATAAAACAGGGTCATTAACTAATGTTGGCATGTTGTTGTTAGGTGCCGTCATAGCAACCCCACGCGACAGCAGAATTGTCCCACAGGGTGTTCTTGGCCGTCATCTTTACGAAAGCAGATCTCCAGGTCTTTCTCACGCGGTTAGCAACCCAGTACTTAACCGTTTGCGCCACCAGAGCTCCTTAACGTTGGCATAACGCTGACACTTTACAGTTACTAACACTTTCACATACCTCATCTCATATTACTATGAAGCTATTTTAAAGATGAAGCTCAAATTTACCCAAGGTCACACCAGAGTTAAGATGCAAATACAAATCTGTTTGCTCTAAAATACATGCTGTTCTACAGTATTGTCACACGTTTAGTATATCATACTCTTTTTATCTGTGCTCACGTTTAGTATTCATACTCTTTTTATCTGTGCTCACATTTAGTATATCATACTCTTTTATATGTGCTCAATAACTATTAAGTAAAGGCCACCAAGGTGGGTTGGCTAGGAAATAAAGGTGCAAAGTAACACAGATGCTCTTATGCACTATCCACTGCCTAGCAGAGTGTATGGCACATAGTAGCTATGCAAGAAAATTTACTGAATGAACCCATCATGTCTACTAGTTCTTAATTCCTTAGTACTCACCAACTTAAATAGTACTTAGGTTTCACATAGAGATAATAGATTAGGATTAAGAATATGGTAAACCATATCGAAACCAAACCCATTGCCGCTGAGTCAATTCCGACTCATAGCAACCCTACAGGACAGAGTAGAACCGCCCCACAGGGTTTCCAAGGAGCAGCTGGTGGATTCAAACTGCTGACCTTTTGTTTAGAGTCATAGCTCTTAACCACTGTGTCACCAGGACTCTGAAACCATATTAGGAGCAGGAAAAAAAAAGAAGAACCACCAGCAGTAGGGTGGTGAAAAGGCATGAATTTAGCCTATTACTGAGAGCAAGCTTAAGGAAAGAGAAAAAGCGAAGAGCAAAAACAAAAGCAGATCTGAAAAAGAGTCAAATATACCAAACAAAAATACCTGTTGCCTTCAAGTCAATTCTAAGTCATAGTGACCCTACAGGACAGAGTAGAACAGCACCCACAGGGTTTCCAAGACTGTAATATTTATGGAAGCAGATGGCCACATCTTTCTCCCACAGAGCTGCTGGTGGCTTTGAACTGCTGACCTTTTAGTTAGCAGCCAAGCGCTTAACCACTGCACCACCAGGGCCCCTTGTCAAATATACAGTCACTTGAATTTTGTGGGCCTTTTTCTCCCTCTTGTTCCCAGCCCCAGTGAAGTTTCTAGTTTGTTTTCAACTAAGCATAACCAATAAAAAGTGAACATTCGGTCATTACTAATACGTAGCCAATGACAAAGAGGTTATTACTGCTGTGGGAAAGGGGAAAAGATGAGACTCTTACCATCTCGTAAGCAAACGTTTCTTGTCTGCACACCCGATCTATCGTTATGGTTTCTTCCCGATGTTCCATGAGCCTCTTTCTAACCCTGTTGTACATAAGAGAAAAAAAATCAAACTTTAACGTTCTTTACTGGATCGTCAAAAACAACTCTGTTTTTTTTAAACTTTTTATTTGAACTAATTTTGTATTACAAAAAAAGCTGTAAAAAATAGTAAAGAATTCCGTTATATGTCTCACACAGCTTCCTCTTATGTTAGTATCTTACATAATCAATAATGACTAAGAGCAAGAAATTAACATTGGCATGATATTATTAACCCCGGACCTTATTTGGATTTCATAAATTTTTCCTGTTTGATCCTACATTGCATTTGTTATTTTTCCTTAGTTTCCTCCAGTCTGTTACAGTTCCTCAGTCTCTTGTCTCTCATGACCTTGACACTTCTGAAGAGTTCTAATCAGTTGTTTTTGTAGAATGTCCCTAAATTAGGTTTGTCTGTTGTTTCCTACTATAAGGTTATGCATTTTTGCCAAGAATACCACAAGAATGATGTCCTTCTCAGTGTATCACATCAACGGGTTCATGATGTTGATATGACTTATTGCTAAGTCTTATTGCTGGTTATCCTGGTTAAGGTCTTGTCTTCTAGGTTTCCCCACTATAAAGTTACTTTCTTCTACTTCGTACTTGATAAGTATCTTGGAGGAGGTACTTTGAGACTATGTTCATCCCGTTTCCCCTCAAACTGTCACCCAGGATCTTTAGCATTCATTAGATCTTGTCTGCAACATTTACCCACTGGAATTCAATTATGAAGACAACCTGTCTCTTTTCCCCATTTATTTATTTGTCTGATCATTTGTATTAGTATGAAGTTATGGGTATTTATTTTATTCTATAGGTTAAAGTCCAATTCCATCATTACTTTGTTGCATAAATTGTTCCAGCTTTGGCCATTAGGAGCTCCTTCAGGTTGGCTCTTGTGCTTTTTACAAGCCCTCACCTCGTTGAGTATTTCTATTCTTTCTATTCTATCATGTCCTTCTTTCCTCCCCTTTCCCCCCTACCCCTCGTAGGCACCAATCTTTAGTTCTGGTTTATCCTTCCCTATTTCTTTTGCTCAAATACGCAGATATCTGTGTATTTTCTTATATCCTCTTCTATATCAGTCTGAAAGTCCCTGGGTGGCGCAAACTGTTAAGCGCTTGACTACTAACTGAAATGTGGTGGTTCAAATCCACCCAGAGGCACTTCAGGAAAAAGACCTTGCCTTGAAAACGCTATGGAACAGTTCTACTCTGCACACATGGGGTTGCCATGAGTCAAAATCGACTCAACAGCATCTAACAACAACATATCAGTCTGAGCTCAATTAGGAAAGAAAAACCACGCAGTAATTTGAACAGGGAAAACTTAAAGAATTATTAGCTTTAACAGAGATTAGCGTAACAAGAATTTACTAAGAAGTAAAGAACTCTAAAGAATACAGAAAGAGAAGACAGAAAGTGTATCTACTACTCCTAGGGCAGGGAGAGTCCAAGAAAGAGCCTTGCTTTGAACTCCAAGGACTGAGATCCAGATGTTAGAGAGGGCACAGCCGTGACTGGCAACGAACGGCAGAGAAGCTGCTATGGTGCTATACTGGTGGAACTTGCTGGAAATCTGCCCTCACGGATGTCAGGTGTTCAAGAGAGGGGTTGAAAGGAGGTGGGTGCTGGAGAAGCTGTGCGCCCTGTAGGAGCCTGTCCATTGAGCACACTGGACCTGGAAGCAAAACCGTTCCTCCTGCAATATCTTCCCAGTGACTTTTACTGATAAATGTTAACACTGTGCCAGAAAAAATTATTTTTTAGAGAGCAGGCGGAAAAGGTTTTGTAGATGAGATAACCAGTGCACCTTCTTTCTCACACGAAGGGTTGCATACCACAGACATGCTCTGGGGCTTTGCTTTTTTCACTTAACAATATGTCCTGGAAATCACTCTGAGTTCATCCTTCCTCATCCATTATTACAGTTGCATAGTACTGTACTGTGTGGATGTTCAGTAGTTCGTCCAACATTCTCCTTTGTATGGGCATATTTAGGGCATTTCAAATTACCTTGCAATTACAAACACTGTTGCAAAGAATAACCTTATATATAAGCATTTTAGTTTTGTTGGAGGTGTACCTACAGTGTAGACTGTAAGAACAGGGATTGCTCGGTCAAAAGGTAAGTGCGTATGTAATTTTGTTAGGTATGCCAGATTGCATTCCCATCGGCAATGTATAAAAGTGCCTATTTCCCCATGGACTCAACAAAAGAATGTGTTACCATTCTTTTAAAATTGTGCTAGTCTGATAGATGATAAAAGGTATCTTAGTGTAGTTTTAATTTGCATTTCTCTCATTATGCGTGTACTTGAGAATTTCTTTCATGTTTGTGAGTCATTTTTATAACTTTTTTGTGTGTAAATTATTGGTTCAGTCTTTTTCCCATTTTTCTATTGGGTTTTTGGTCTTGTCCCTCAACGTTTAAGAGTTCTTACATAACAGGGATTTTAGGTCTTTATGGTGGTATATATTGTAAATATTTTCTTCCAGTTTGGCAGCCATCTTTTCACTTTGTTTTCGGTGTTTTTTTCCCATGCAAGTCTTTTTTAAGTAGTCAATTTTATCAATCTTTTCTTTTATTGCTTCTGGATTTGAGTCACAGTTAGAAAGCTTTTTACGATACTAAGGTCATATGGCTTCATTTTCTACATTTCGATCCCTAATCCCTTTGGAGTTTATTCTTGTACATGGCGTCATGCTAACTTTCCATATGTATTTGAATCTAACTCTGGACTTTCTATTCTATTTCACTGGTCTGTCTATTCATGAGCCATCACTGTTTTAATTATAAAGAGTCTGCAGTATATTTTAATATCTGGTAAAGTAAGTACTCCTGCCTATTTTTTCCCCAGGTGTTTTCCTAACTATTCTTGCATGTTTGTTTTTCCACATGAACTTTAGTATCAACTTAACTCCACAAAATAACTTGTTGGTATTTTAATTAGGATTACATTGAATTTATATATTACTTAGGAAAAACTACTATCTTTATAATATTGAGTCTCCCTATCCAAGAAAAGGGGATGTCTTCCAATTTGTTGAAGTCTTCTTCAATGTCTTTCAAGAGTGTTTAAAAATTTTCCTCATATAAGTTTTGCATATTTCTAGTTAAACTTATTTAATCTTTTTTGTGGGTATGGTAAATGGGATTTTTTTTTTACTACTATGTCCTCTAACTGTTTACTGTTTGTATATATGATGGTTATTGATTTTTATATATTAATTTTGTATTCTACTATTTCACTCAATTATTTTATTGTTTGAGTTAGCTTTAGCATTGATTTCTTTGGAATTTTCCAGGAAAAGAACCACATGACTATCTCAATTGATGCAGACAAGGCATTTAACAAAATTCAATACTGTTTGGTGATAAAAACACTCAACAAACTAGGAATAGAAGGGAAATTCCTCAACATGATACAGCGTATTTATGAAAAATCCACAGCTAATTCATAATTAATGATGAAAGACTAAAGCTTTTCTTGTAAAATCAGGAACAAGACAAGGATGTCCACTTTCATCACTGATATTCAACACTGTACTAGAAGTCCTAGTCAGAGCAATTAGGCAAGAAAAAGGAATAACAGGCATCCAAATTGGAAAAGCAGAAGTAAACTGTATCTATTTGCAGATGACATGATCCTTTGTATAGAAAAATCACAAAGAATCCATAAAAAAGCTATTAGAGCTAATAAATGAATTCAGCAAAGTGGCAGGGTACAAGATCAATGCACAAAAATCAGTTATTTCTATACACCAACAATAAATAAACTGAAAAGCAATTTTTTTTAAAAAAAAATCCCATTTACAATAGCATTTAAAATAAAGACATATCTAAGAATACATTTAACCAGGGAGGTGAAAGACTTGTACACTGAGAACTACAAAACTTTACTGAAAAGAAATTAAAGGACGCCTAAGTAAATGGAAAGAAATCCAGTATTCATGGACTGAAAGACTTAATATTGTTAAAATGTCAATACTACCCAAAATAATCTACAGATTTTATGGAATCCCTATCAAAACTCCAACAGCCTTTTTTATAAAAATGGAAATGCCAATCCTCAGTCATATGGAACTGCAGGGGGCCCACAACAGCCAAAATAATCTTGAAAAAGAACAAAGTAGGAGGACTCATACTTCTTGATTTCGAAGTATCCTATAAAACTATAATCACAACAGTGTGGTACTAGTATAAGGATAGGCATATAGACCAACAGAATAAAATTGAGAGTCCAGAAATAAACCCAAGCATCTATGGCCAACTGATTTTCAACAAGAGTGACAAGTCCATTCAATGGGGAAACAACAGTCTCTTCAACAAATGGTGCTGGAACAATTGGATCTCCACATGCAAAAGAATGAAGTTGAATCCATACCTCACACCATATACAAAAATTAGCAAAAAATGGATCCATGACCTAAATATAAGAACATATCCACTGCCAAAAACAAGGTCATGAAGCTTTACCCCTACGTCTTCCTCTAAGAGTTCTCCAGTTTTAGTTTTTATTCCTCAGAAATGACTGGTGGGTGCAGAATTATCCACATTCTTGTACGTTGATAAATTTTTTCTGTAGCCTTGATATTAGTTCACACTCACTGAGCTTTTTAAAAAAATACTGCTCAAAAAAAAAACATACATGTATGTATATATATTGCTCCATTGTTGCCCTGCTTTGTTGTCAATTTTGCAAAGTCTGATACTGGTCCAGTTCTTTTCTGTCAGTTACGTGTTCTTCTTACCTGGAAGCCTTAATGATTTTATTCTTTACTTTATTTACCTCTGAAAACTAGTAATTGTACTTGGATATGTCTCAAGAGTTGATTGTTCTGGGCTAATTTTCCCAGGTACCTGGCGAGGCCGTTCAATGTATAGATTCAGAGTTTTTTAAATTTCTTGAAAATTTTCTTAGATTATATTTTTAAATATTAATTCTGTTTCACTGCTTTTTCTTCTTCATGGGCTTTTATATTATGAATATTATACCTTCTTTGCCTGTCTTCTATTTTCTACTACTTTCTCTGACTCATTTTATTTCTTTATGTCATTTCCATTCTCTTGGATGTTTTTATGCCCTTCTTCAAAGCCCTTTATTAAATTTTCATCTGTGTCTATTCTCCCTTGGGTACCTTGTGATTTATTCACTACTTGTAATTTACACAGATAATTTTGTCTTTCTCTTCCGTGTTTTTCCTGCGTTCTATCAATTCATTTCTCCCATTTTAAAATCATTTCCATTCTTACTTTCAAATGCTTGAATATATTCAACTCCATTTGAAGTCTAGACTTACAGTTTTCTTCTGTTTCCTGGCTATTTTCCAGGGGATGGGGAAGTACCCTCAGTTGATTTGTATAAACAGTTTTTTCCTGATTTTCTGCAATAAGTTCTCTTTGGATTTTATTTCCCCTTATTCATTTTTGTGATTTGGAGGGTTGGGTTACAAGATTTCTAGTTCAATAGTGCTCTTTTACGTTGGTTTTGCAAAGTCCCTATATATTAGTGTTCTTTTTTTTTTTTAAATTGTTTGTTTGTTCTGGAGCCCTGTTGGTGCAGTGGTTAAGAATTAGGCTGCTAACCAAAAAGGTCGGCAGGTCGAATCTACCAGCCGCTCCTTGGAAACCCTCTGGGGCACTTCTACTCTGTCCTTTAGGGTGGCTATGAGATGGAACAGACTCAATGGCTATGGGTTTTTTGGTTTATTTGTTCTAGTGGTGGCGGAGGAGCTGTGATTCCTCCAATTTGTGGATCTTTTTTTACTTTCAGGACTCTATAAAGATTTTCCCTTTTCTCCTTCTTCCCCCTCAAAAATCCTTTAAATGGTGTGTACTGGACCCGTGGAGCAGTGCTTTCTTGGCTACAGAAGTTGGGGGCGGGGGAAGGTGGGCAGAATAATCTATATGAAATGGCTATTGTATTAAAAGTAGGGTTGCTAAAGCTTTGGGGACAACAAATAAGTTTATTATTATTATTATTATTGTTGTAATTAAATGAAGTTTACATTTCAAGTTAGTCTCCCATACAAAATTTTTTTTTAACATACATTGTTATGAGACCCTAATTGTTCACCCCATTGTGCGACAGCACACTCCTCCTTTCAGCTCCTGATTCCCCATGACCATTCAACCAGCTCCTAACCCTCTATCACCCCTCTGAACAAAAGCTGCCCCTTTGGTCTCTTGTATCTACTTGACTAAGAGGCACACTCTTCGTAAGTATCACTTTATGTCCCACAGTTCAGTCCAATCCCTGTCTGAAGAGTTGGCCTCAGAAATTGTTTTAGCTCTGGGCGGACAGAGAGTCCAGGGGCCACGCTTTCCAGGGTGCCTCCAGTCTCAGTCAGACCATTAAATCTGGTCTTCTTACTAGAATTTGAGTTCTGCACCCCATCCTTCTACTGCTCCATCAGGAACCCTCTGTTGTGTTCCCTGTCAGGATGTTCACTGGTGGTAGCCGGACACCATCTAGTTCTTCTGGTCTCAGGCATGACAGATAAGTTTTAGTTGTACCAATGAGGTTAACAATTATCTCTCTTCTTCCTAGAAATTAAAACCTTCTCTTTAAGCAGCCAAAAAACTCCAAAGTACTAAAGATAAATTATTCAATCTGCTATGGAGTATTAGGAACAACATAAAGAAAAATCAAAAAAAAGAAAGAAAGAAAAATTGATCTATATCAACTGCCTTTTTTCGCTTTACATTAATAAGTAGCTCCTTTGTTGGACAAAGAGCCCTAGTAGCACAGTGGTTAAGAGCTCAGCTGCTAACCAAAAGGTCGGCAGTCTGAATCTAACAGCTGCTCCTTCGAAACCCTATGGGGCAGTTCTACTCTGCCCTAGAGGGTTGCTATGAGTTGGACTCAACAGCAACGGGGTTTTTTTTGTTTTGTTAGACAAGGAAAAAGTGTTAGAAATTTATTTTGTACCATAAATAAACAAATTTTGTGCTTAGGCTTTGTTTTTATTTTTTGAAAGTTATTGGGGGTGGGGGGAGAAAACAAAGATTTAAAGAACAGAAAGCATAGAGATATAGAATTTAGCTTTTGCCAGTAGTCTAGTTTATTTGTAGGACCCTTGGGACTAATATTAAGAAGCCCTGATGGTCCAGCGGTTAAAGCGATCGACTGCTAACCGAAAGGTCAGCGGTTTGAAACCACCAGTGGCTCCGCGAGAGAAAGATGTAGCAGTCTGCTTCCGTAGAGATTTACAGCCTTGGAAACCTTATGGGGTCGCTATGAGTCAGAATTGATTCGACGGCAGTGGGTGAGTGGGACTAATATTTGTCCTATTTTAAACATCGAAACTATTACAGAAAAGTGCTGTACTAACTCTTCTTATACTAGATTACATATACAATTCTACCCACATTTCCAATATTTGGAAGAACCAGACAACAACCAAGGAGATTCAGGTGACCTAGCCCTGGAAATTAGACAAAGCATGTGTTAAGGTGTCTTAAAATAACTATTATTTAACATGGTATACATCTTAAAATCATTACAGGCCAATTAGCATGTTATAAACTACAGCAAAAAGGTATGCTTTGATTATAATTATCAGTAACCTTTTCTCAGTCAATTTCTAAAAATTACTACATCGGATTTCTGAAAGTTTCATTCGTTCCACTCATTCTACAAACATTTATTAACTTTGCTATATACCATGGTTCTAGGAACTGGAGATACAGCAGTGAGTGTGACAGACAAAGCTTATGGAACTTTAAAGTCTAGCTAAGAAGACAGACACTTAAACAAGTATATTATGTTATACTTACTTAATAAGGTCACCATGAGTTGGAGCTGACTCCATGGCAACTAACAACATCACAATAAAGCATGAATTTCAATAGGGAAGTTGTTGTTAGTTGCTTTCCAGTCGATTCTGACTCATGGTGACCCCATGTATGCAGAGTAGAACTGCTCCACGGGGTTTTCAAGGCTGTGACCTTTCGGAAGCAGAGCACCAGGCTTGTCTTCCAAGGCACCTCTAGGGTTCGAACTGTTAACCTTTCAGCTAGTAGTTGAGTGCTTAACTGTTTGTGCCACGCAGGGACTCAATAGGGAAATATGGAATACTATATGAGCATAGGTTCTACTCTTTCCTATAGGGTCATTATGAGTTGGAACCGACTCAATGGCAATGGGTTTATATGAGCATACAAAGGGGCCTAAATGGAGTCCTTAATCCTTGGGCTAAGACTTGAAGGATGAGAAGTCAGTGACGCCAGGGGGATAAGGCAGAGAGTGTTATAGGTAAAGACCTGGAGTGAGAGAGCCCATTCCAGGAACTGAAAAATAGTGCAGTGTGGCTGGAGCCCTGCGAAGATAAAGCTGGAAAGATCAGCAAGGTCCACTCCGTAGAGGGCCCTTAAGGACTCACGACTTTAGCCAAGAGCCATCAAAGGGTTTTTCAGCAAAGGAGAGACATGATCAGATGTGTATTTTAGAAAAATCCCAACAATAACTACAGAGTGCCAATGGAGCAAAGCAATACAGTAGACTTAAGAGCAACACACCAATGATAAAGTTTGAGGCTCTCAGTGAGCCTTCGAGAACTTTAGAAATGTTAGAAGAGTTCAAGGCAGTATAAGTGCATGTATTTATTCACTAATGGAAAGAGGCAGCCTAAGGTAATCTGGAACGGAATCCTAAGGTAATCTGGAACGGAATCCTAAGTTCTTAAAAAATGGGTAGGTTTCAGACGCGGAAGGAGCCCTGGTGGTGCAGCGGTTAAGCGCGTGGCTGCTAACCGAAAGGTTGGTGGTTCATACCCAGTAGCTGCTTCACAGGAGAAAGAGGTGGCAGTCTGCTTCCATAAAGATTACGGTCTTGGAAACTCTATAATGCAGTTCTACTCTGTCCTATAGGGTTACTATGAATTGGAATAAACTCAACGGCAACAGTTTCAGAGGGAGGAGGTCATGTGCACCGAAGTCATTTGAAAAAAAAAAGTGACTGAAAATAAATCTGGCAGATTGAGGCTATGTGTGCAAGGCTTTGAATGTCTGGCTATGGAGTTTGAAATTCTTCCTCAAAGGAGAGGTAGAGCCATTGACAATTTCTGAACAAATGAGCATGCTCAGGTGACAGTGTGATGGATAAATGGGAAGAAGAAAAGACTGGACATAGGAAAGACAGTTAGGAGCCTTTCACAATGCTCCAGGTGTGGCTAATGTAAATGTTAGCAGTGGGGATCAACAGGGACAGATTTGGCAGTTATTACAAAGGAAACCAACATAGAATTGAAATGACTGCCTGAATATTTGAGGTAGAACAAACAAAAGGATAGGATCAGGGATGACAGAACATTAGCTGACGTGGTCTGAGTAAGAGGGTATAAGCTGGAAATTATAAATTTCACTATCACACACAATTTCTCTAGATGACACACAGCAGACATCACATACACATACAGCTAAAGCAAACAGGGCCAAAAGATAACAACTGTTGAATTTAGGGGATGGGTATCTGGATGATTACAATACCATTATTCCTTCAATTTTTCATAATAAAATGTTGAAAACATTTTTTTAAATAAACAGCACATTACAAAAGCAAAGTCTTCCATACCCCAAAGTCACCAAGTCAGTGTCCTCTGGGATGACTTCTGGATCCTCGCCTTCCTCAAGGCACTTCAGTTTATCAAGGCTTAAAAAAACAAAACAGAAAAACAACCACTTTAAGGCTGGCCATGCGTCTTGTCTATAGCATGCCAGGGTTGTGTCCTAAATACATCAATGAACAATTAAAGAAGTCAGATAAAATCAGGGCTTCCAACCAGTTCAACCCCCTGCTGAGAATGTCCATTTTCTAACAAGTTCCCAGGCCATGCTAAAGGGAGTACATAAAGGAATAAAAACCCTGTTCTAGGAGTCAGGAGGCCTGGGTTCTAAACCTGCTCACCTGCGATTGTCAGTTTTCTCATCTGTAAACAGTAAAAATGACTGCTTTAACTACCCTTATAGGAACTTCCTGCATTTCCACCCTGGATGTACTGAATCAGAATTTACATTTTATTTCTTTTTATCGTGGTAAATATATATGTAACAAAATATCTGTTATTTCACCATACTTCACAGGTACAATTCAATGGCACTGTGTTCATCGTGTTGTGCAATCATCACCGTTATCTGCTTCCAAAATTTTTTTTTTAAATTGTACTTCAGATGAAAGTTTACAGAGCAAATTAGTTTCTCATTAAACAATTAATATACATATTGGTTGCCAACCCCATGACACGTCAACGCTCCCCCCTTCTCAACCTGGGCTCCCCATTACCAGCTTTCCTGTCCCCTCCTGCCTTCTTGTCCTTGCCCCTGGGCTAGTGTGCCCGTTTAGTCTCGTTTTGTTTATGGGGCCTGTCTAATCTTTGGCTGAAGGGTGAACCTCAGGAATGACTTCAGTACTGAGTTAAAAGGGTGTCCGCGGGCCATACTCTTGGGGTTTCTCCAGTCTCTGTCAGACCAGTAAGTCTGGTCTTTTTTTTGTGAGTTAGAATTTTGTTCTACATTTATCTCCAGTTCTGCCCAGGACTCTCTACTGTGATCCCTGTCAGAGCAGTCGGTGTGGTGGTAGCCGGGCACCATCGATTTGTGCTGGACTCAGTCTGGTGGAGGCTGTGGTAATTGTGGTTCATTAGTCCTCTGGACTAATCTTTCACTTGTGTCTTTGGTTTTCTTCATTCTCCCGAGCTCCAGACCGGGTAGGACCACTGGAGTTATCTCAGACGGCCACTCATAAGCTTTTAAGACCTCAGACCAAAATCTACATTTTAACAAGATCCCCATATGATTCTTAAACGTATGATAAATTTTGAGAACCAGTGCTCTACTTGTGATTCTCAGAATTGGTCCTGACTCTAGCCAGCAGCATTAACATCCTGGGAACTTGTTAGAAATGTAAATTATCAGCTAGGGGTTCGAACCTGAAGGAACCTGTTCAGAGGCCTGGATAAAATCCAGCAGACTGCTCAGTGGAGAGGTCAGAATTCAAGGCAATGATTTTTGTGCCGATATTCTATAATGAAAAGGATAATGTGGCCGTTTGAAGGCGCTCAATACTATTAAACGCAGAGAACAACAACAAAAAAAACCCTTGCCCGTTAGCCAATTCCAGCTCATAGCCACCCTATAAACCAGAGTAAAACTGCCCCCGTAGGGTTTCCAAGGAGCGCCTGGTGGGTAACTGCGGATCTTTTGGTTAGCAGTCAAGCTCTTAACCACTGCACCACCAGGGCTCCTTGAATGGAAAAAGGGATCGTTAGAAGTTATTTTTTACATTTGAACCCACCCCCACCCCCCATACGGCACTTTTTGGACAAATTGAATACTAGTATACCCGGAAGGTCCTCAAAAAGAGCCAACAGTTAATCAAGGTTTTAACACTCCTCTGATTCCGTCTCCTTCCGCCTCACCATTTCTCGGGTCCCTGCACTGTCAAAGTGTCAACGGCAGGGTCAACAAGCGCTTAAAAATGAGCTAATAGAAAGTTTAATCTCTTATGCAGCTCTCTCGCTTCTTCACCCCAACTCGCAGAAATTGTGCATTGCGCTCAAGGGACTTCTTCCGACATGCCTAAGGGGGGAAAGCTCCAGCGGGTTGAAACCTTTGGAAGGGGGGTTCTCCTACCCCGGGGTCTATACCACAGACCCTCCGGAGCTAAGTCCCAGGGGAGCGCAAGAGCAGGGATGAACCCCGCTTGGCCCTCCGCAATAGTAGCCACTCGGCCCCGCACTCACCCGCACACTGTCCTCAGCTCGGCCGCTGCCTCCAGGCTGCAGCCCAGATCCCGGGCCACCGCTGCATCTTCCCGAGCGGAGTCGTCGCCCCCTCGCAGCCCGGGCAGCGCGGGAGCCGGAGGCTCCTTCAGCGACAAGTCGTCGGCCCCGCGCAGTCGGCCCCGCCACAGCTCCCCGAAGGCACCCACGTGGAAGGCGCGAGTGTTTAGCTCAGGAAGTTCATACTCTGGAAAGTTGCAGCCCCTGCTATTAGGGGACAGGTCCTGCCTGCCGTCCACCCCGCTGCACGTTGGGCCGCCCCGGCTGCCTTCAGCCATATTCGCCCCGCTGCCTTCCCTGCAAAAGCCGGGAGGTGGGGGCCTCGCGGAGCGTGATGGGATTTGTAGTTCGCGGGGCCCCGGGCGGAGAGGGCGGGGCGGGGCGGGCCGGGAGTCAGAGACTACATTTCCCTGAAACCCCCGGGACGGGCCTGTCCCCGGGCGCGGTCCCGCGCTGCTCCGCGCGGCTGCCTGAACGCATTGTTCTCGACGCAGGGCTGTGCGGCTCCGGGCGTGGCTCTTCGCTCTTGGCGCTAGGCCCGCCAGGCTCCCGGCCTTCGCGGTTAAGTAGTAACGCCCTCTGTCCCGCAGGGCGTTCTCTCCTTTCAGTCGGCTCGTTGCTTTCCTCGCCCAAGAGATGCGGGTGGGACTTTTTCTCAACTCCATGGTTCGTGGACTGCGTTGCTGCCTGTGGCCCAGAGGCTGAGAGACAAGGGGGACGACGGCCAGCCCTACAGTCCGGTCGCTTCAGAACCTACCCAAAAGCCCCGTGCTTGTGTGTATGTGCATATATACACGTACAGTAGTGTTTACTTAGCGTCTACTAAGTATCAAAAACTGCATTATTAACTCTAATGTATCGTGTTGCTATTATGCAGAACAGATTTCAGCAGGAGCTAGCTTCCAGACCAAGATGGACTAGAAGCAAAGGCCTGGCGATCTACTTCAGAAAATCAGTCAGTGAAAACCCTGTGGATCACCACCGTCTGATCTACCATCCATCACGGGGATGGTGCAGGACCAGGCAGCATTTCTTTCTTTGTGCATGGGTTCACCATGACTGAGCTGCCCCTAAAAGCAAATTTTTATAGCTCAAAACAACCCTGTCAGGTAGAGATTATAATCTCCAATTTGTTAAAGAGTGTTATTAGGTGCCTTCTAGTTAGTTTGGACTCACAGCAACCCTCTGCACAACAGAACAAAACACTGCCGGGTCTTGCGCCATCCTCACAATTGTTGCTATGTTTGAGCCCATTGTTGCAGCCACTGTGTCAGTCCATCTCGTTGAGGGTCTTCCTCTTTTTTGCTGACCTTCTACTGTACCATGCATGAGGTCCTTCTCCAGGGACTGGTCCCTCCTGATACCATGTCCAAAGTGCACGACAGAAGTCTCACCATCCTTACTTCTAGGGAGCATTCTGGCTGTAGTTCTTCCAAGACAGGTTTGTTTGTTCTTCTGGAAGTCCATGGTATATTCAATTTTCTTCACCAACACCATAGTTCAAATGCATCAATTTTTCTTCTGTCTTCCTTTCTCTCCTAGGAAATAACAGAAACAGGATTGGAACGCCAATCTGTCCAGTTTCAGATGAAGCATTCACCATCCCTCAGAGACCCCCAAAGGATGCAGCAGGACATACAGAAGGAGCCCTAGTATTTTTTTTTTTTTTTCTCCTTTGTAACAGCTTTATTAAGGAGCCCTGGGGGTGCAGTGGTTAAGCATGGGGCTGCTAACAAAAAGGTCGGTAGTTGAATCCACCAGCTGCTCTGGGGAGAAAAATGTAGCAATCTGCTTTCCTAAAGATTACAGCCTTAGAAACCCTATGGGGCAGCTCTACTCTGTCCTATAGGGTCACTATGAGTCTGAATCAACTCGAGGGCAATGGGTTTGGTTAACAGCTTTATTGAGATACAATTCACATGCTATACAACTGACCGATTTAGAACGTGCAGTTCAGTGGTTTTTAGCATATTCACAGTTGTGCAAGCATCAACACAGTCAATCTTAGAACATTTTAATCACCCCAAAAGAAACACTGTCTTTTAGCTATCACCCCACACTTCCCACTCCCATCCCCACCCCCAGTCCTAGGCAACTACTAATCTACTTTCTGTCTCTATAGATTTACCTATTCTAGATATTTCATATAAGTGAGATCATACAGTGTTTGTCCGTTTTTTGACTGGCTTTTTCACTTAACATGATGTTTTCAAGGTTCGTCTGTGTATCATGTGTCAATACTTCATTGCTTTCTATGGACAAATAATATTCTCTTTTGTGTATATACTACAGTTTGTTTGTCTATTTGCCCATTGATGAACATTTGGGGTGTTTCTGCCTTCAGCTATTAGGAATATTGCTGCTTTGAACATTTGTGTTACAAGTTGTTGTGTGAACATATATTTTCATTTCTTTCAGGTATATAGCTAGGAATAGAATTACTGGGACGTCTGGAGCCTGGTGGCGCAGCGGTTAAGAGCTTGGCTGCTACCCAAAAGGTCAGCAATGCAAATCGCCAGCTACTCCCTGGAAACCCTGTGGGGCAGTTCTACTCTGTTCTATAGGGTCACTGTGAGTCAGAATCAACTCTGTGGCGATGGGTTTTATGGTAATTTTATGTTTAGCATTTTGACAAACTACCAGACTGTTTTCCAAAGTGACTACACCATTCCTGTCAGCAGTATATGAGGTTCCAGTTTCTTCACATCTTTGCCAATACTTGTTATTATTTGACTTTTTGATTAGAGTCATCCTAGTGGGTGTGGAGCCCTGGTGGCACAGTGATTAAGAGCTCAGCTGCTAACCAAAGGGTCGGCAGTTTGAATCCACCAGTGAGTCCTTGGAAACCCTATGGGCAGTTCTTTTCTGTCCTATAGGGTCACTATGAGTGAGAATCAACTCAATGGCAATGGTTTTTTTTTGTTGGTTTGTTTTTGGTTAGTTGATATGACGTGTGTTAAAACAAAAATCATATTAAGCCAATAATAGAAATTGATTGAATACATGATTTGAAAATTGGGGTAACATTTCTTTTAGGGAGTCAAAAATTCCAAAGATGAAAAGAACTTGAAAAATTCTTTTACCACATCTTCTCTCATTGCCATGGAGATGGAGCTAGAACAGTGTTTATATAATAACAGTTTACCCTAAAACACAGTTTCTAATCTGACATCGGAGCTTCTGTTCCTTGAAACTGACTACACATAAGTAATCCTTCGAAAGAGCCCAATGCCTAAGGCAAAGCAGTTTTTACTAGTTTATCTAGACAATTGTTTGACTTAAAGGTGACTTTTAGGAGACCATTTTTCTTCAAAACCCAAAGTTAAGAAGGACTCCTAAGGTCAATGACCAGGGTGGGTTACCCCAACCTCCATGAAAGCCAGAAGTCTGGATTCCAGGAGAATTAAAACTGTTTCTTAAGTGTTATCTTGTTTTGGATTTGTATTTCCCCGAATATGGAGAAATATCTTCTATGGAGTAATATCTGTTCAAATCCTTTGCCAGATTTTTAATTGGATTGTCTTTCTATAGGAGCCCCGGTATTTATTAGTACATTGTTGTAGGAGACATCTGTTGTTTTGTCTGCCTAGCATTTTGTTTCTTAGAACTGACTTTCCTTACTCCTGTGGTCCTGCTGGGGTTGCCAATCTTAGAACCCTTCCCACTGGGACCACAGTGAATGGTCCAGAGATGGGTAAGTGAGTCAACCAGAGCCAATCAGAATCCTCTTCTGGAATTTTATCCTCTCTGCTATGGGCTGAGGCTCCTCCTTCTCTGATGATCTAAGGATGTGCCCCAGTCACAGCCTGTGTCTGTGGAAGGAATAGAGCCACAGATTTAAATAAGCAAAGACACAAGATGGAGAGAGAAGTCAAGTGACTTGGAGCTTGTGGCTGAAGCCATCTTCTCCTCCAGACTTCCCATTATGTAAGCCAGTAATGTTTTTCTTAAACTAGTTTGTTGGATTCTCTTGCAATCTAAAGAGTAATAGCCTTCCTGGAGCGTGTAAGACTTGGTCCAAATCCCTCGACAGGGGGAGCTCTCACTCTGGAGAATGAGGTCACCCTTTGGTTGGAAGAGCAACTCTGTTAACATATCTGGAGATTGAAACATTGTCAGCATAGCTGGAGATTGAAACATTGGCTTCAGGGGTGGAGTCCACAAAGGTTCCTGAGGACCAGTTAATAGGAGCAGGATCAAATCAGGCACAGCAGGGAAGAGTGGTTCATTATCACTGGAAGGTGTGGGAGAAGGGGCAGCAGCTTGAGCAGTGCGCCTGTAGGAATCAGTGAAAAAGAAGGATTAGTATGAGTGCCAACAGCAATCACAGTAACATGGCAGTCAGGTGAATCTTATCTGCAGCAGCCCCTCCTTGGGATGGGGCCATGGCACAGGCAGCTTTTGACCTTGTGACAAATTTGGCCAAAGATGGGTGGTGCTTATCCTGGCACTAAACAAAAAAGCCAAACCCATTGCTGTCGAGTTGATTTCGACTCCTAGCAACCCTATAAGACAGAGTAGAACTGCTCCACAGGGTTTCCAAGGAGTGGCTGGTAGATTCGAACTGCCCGCCTTTTGGTTAGCAGCCTAGCGGCCTCGCACTAGGACCTGACAAAGCAGAAAGAAGTTGGAAATAGTCCAAGGAGATAGTCCAAAGTTGGGTATTATTGTTGTTTAACATTAAGTTGGCTCCAACTCATTGCGATCTTATGTGTAACAGAGCAAAATTTTGTCTGGTCCTGCACCATCTTCATGATCCTTGGTATGTTTGAGCATTGTTGTGGCCACTGTGTTAGTCCGTCTCATTGAGGGTTTTCCTCATTTTTTGCTGACCCTCTACTTTGCCAGCAGGTTTGGTTTTTTTGGTTTTACATGTATCTGCCTTAGTCATCTAGTGCTCCTGTAACAAATACCATAAATGGATGGCTTTAACAAAGAGAAATTTATTCTCTCACAGTCTAGGAGGCTAGAAGTCTGAATTCAGGGTACCAGCTCTAGGGGAAGGCTTTATCTCTCTGTTGGCTCTGGGGGAAGGTCCTTGTCATCAATCTTCCCCTGGTCTAGGAGCTTCTTCACACAGGAACCCTGGGTCCAAAGGACATGCCATGCTCCGGTGCTGCTTTCTTGGTGGTATGAGGTTCCCATGTTTCTGCTTATTTCTGTCTTTTATATTTCAAAAGAGATTGACTTAAGACAAATCTTATCTTGTAGATTGAATTCTGCCTCATTGACAAAACTGCCTCTAATCCTGCCACGTTAACATCACAGAGGTTGGATTTACAAGTCATAGAAAAATCACATCAGATAACAAAATGGTGGACAATCACAGAATCCTGGGAATCATGGCCTAGCCAAGTTGGCACATATTTTTGGGGGACACAATTCAATTCATAACAGTATCTTAG